CCTGACCTGACCCGGTCAAGTTTCTTATACCATATGATAGCCAATACTTGCCCCAACATGCATGGGAAGTGTCATCACGATCCATCAACCGATGTCCGTACCACCGGCAGGAAACCTCGGGCGTTGGCACTCAGTTTGTGAAAATCCGGCCGGAGGCTGTTCCCTTTGTGACGTCATAACTCCGTGACCTGACATGACCCGGTCAAATTTTTTTTTATCAAAAGATGCGCAAGGTTTGCCCCATAAGGTACCCAAAATTTGGCGGCGCTGCGCGCCGCCGTTTTTGCACTATTTCCGAAAAACCTCAGGGGGGGTTGCACCAACCCCCCCCTACATGGGCGAGGGTTAAACGATGAAGGTTGCCGCTCTTAAATGTTACCGCAAAACTTGCATCGGGATCGGGAAGCTCAAGAATACGCCAGTCTGCGAAGAACGGACGGAAAAATAGCGGTGGAGCAGAAACAAGATGCATAGGACTGATTGGAGTATAAGTAGCTGGGACAAACATCTGTGCCGGTGGTGGCCTGTTATTACAGGAACTTCTACTTTGGATATCTCAGGAAACTGGCAGGTCACCATTTCTAGGCCAGCTCTGGACATTTTTGATGGAGAAGCCAAGAAATGTGCCAAGGGCGAAGAGCATACTATAACTAACGAGCTACAGAATATGACGGAGGCGCCGGGGGCACTAATCGTTTGGCCGAACGGGGAAGAACACTCGATCCGCGCCCCGGCAGGTTACCCGTGCTCCAGCTTCCGAGCTGAGATGGTCGCCCTCCGAGCTGCTCTCTCCTAGCTGCTGGAGAACCCGCCGCACGCCGAAGACACCATCGTAGCCTGCACCGACTCGCAGTCCGCCCTCGCCGCCATCCGAGGTGGCTGGGCCGCCCAGCACTCCTCGCTCGGAGTGGACATCTGGAGAGCCCTCTGGGGTCTGACAGCTGGAGGCCTGTTGGTCTACCTACAGTGGGTGCCCTCACAATGCAGGTTGGAGGGCAACGAGAGGGCCGACACCATCGCCAAGAAGGCAAACATACTCGACTAAAAACAAATCCTCATAGACGTCCAGAAGGCCCACTGGGCCGCCGCCAGAGTGGCGAGGGCTCGCACCGTCGGGGCCTGGCCAGCCGGCTGGTTCCACCAGCTGACGGGGATCGACTCCCGCCTACCGTTGCCGGCGGCGACCGGCCAGCGGCGGTGGACATCCACCAGCTCCGCGCCGGCCACTGGACAAGCTCCTCCCAATGGCGCCACAGAGTCGGGTTGGCGCCCTCCTGGCTGTCGGGGTGCAACCAGTGCGACGACCGACAATGCAGAGCCGCACTCTACCCGTCTGCTGAGAGGAGGCGGACAGCCCAAGCATGTCCTCCTGCGGTGACCGGCTCTGATGGGCACCCGACATCGCCTGATGGCGACCATCAACCCCAACATGGAGGAGGTGCGGAGCGGCAGCATCGTGGTGGCCCTGGGGGCCGCCCACAGGTCCCTTCAGAGCTGTTCGGCTACGTCTCCATGGGACGAAGGGACACAATAAAAGCAACAATAGCTACAGCATGACAACGTGATGGGAACGACCGTCACAAGAGCTATCGCCTTATCATTCAGCAGCGAGTGGAAAACGAGCAGACGGAGGGATACGTTGCAATTGGTGATGCGCATGTGCGAATGTGTGAAAGTGCGACCCCAGCTAACAGGAAACGTTAGTTCAACGTTGTCACAACGTCGTGTTTCGGTAAGTTGCGAAATTACGTTTTAATTACGTTGTAGCAACGTTCTGAACGTTGTGAAGCCATGGTTTAGTCCGAAAGTTGTGGTAAAACGTTGTGACAACGTGTTATTGGTACGTTGCAGCAACCGCGCACTTGCAACATTATATTTTGATAATGCATGGTGACATATATGGCCATATAATGCATTTCCTTTGACGGCAATGCGAATTTTCAGTTTTCATCGTTAAATTTGACATGTTTTAACACTTGGACTGTTCACGTTGTCAGCTGGTGGTCGCCAACACGTTGTTAAAACGGTTTTTTTTTTTCACAACCTTGACATTATAGGTACTGAATAATTAGCGGTGTTTTTACAAGTAAATTCTGATACCTTTCTCTCTCTATCTCTCTCTAATATATATATATATATATATATATATATATATATATATATATATATATATATATATATATATATATATATATATATATATATATATATACCTATATATATATATATATATATATATATATATATATATATACCTATATATATATATATATATATATATATATATATATATATATATATACCTATATATATATATATATATACCTATATATATATATATATATATATATATATATATATATATTATATATATATATATATATATATATATATATATATATATATATATATATATATATATATATATATATATATATATATATATATATATATATATATATATATATATATATATATATATATATATATATATATATATAAAAACATGTGTAAATTGCAAAGCGTCATTGGCATGTTTTGCAACATCACAGGCGGAGCTAGAGGCTTGCAACTATCCCTATGTAAACGCGGCTGTTATCCGCGGCTGCCAGCAAGTCACGCGGGCCGCCACTCTGGCGAACGGTGGGCCGCGCCCTGACCTCGCCTGAGGGGCCGTGACGTCAGTGTCACCGGCCGGCGTTCAGAGCCAGCCGGCCGAGCCGCAGTCTCCGCAGCGCGAGCGAGCAGTGAGGGCCGGCGGCGGTCGCGGCTGAGATAGCTGGAAGATGAAAGATAGCGCCAGTTGTCTGCGTTTGATACGATTGTTGCTTTGACTGGTAAGTCAAAGTACCATTTACGAGTAGCATTTGCAAGATTGTGCCTTGTAATATCGTGCGGTTTAGGCTATAGTTCATTGTAGCTCTAGCCTTTAAGGTGTTGACATGTTTGATCTAGCCTGTCGCACTGTTACGGGAAGTGGTGCAGGTATTTTTGTGATTTTTTCATGAATTGAATGTCTGATTTTCCTTCATGTCTTCCCGCAGACGTCCTGCAGCTCGTCAGCGCGCCTTGTGGCAGGCCTACTGTCGGCAATGCGGTAGCGAAGTGGCTGTCCGGAAGCTGCGACCGGAACGGGGGGCGTGCAGACCGTCTGGGGCACTGCCAGCTGCCTAGGGACATCGAGGCCGCAAATGAGCCGGTGCCTAACGGTCCGCCGAGTGATCCTCCCAGCGAGGGTTAGTGAAGAAGTGAACTTCCACCAGTTCTGGCGTGCTATCGGCTAGCGCTAGAGCCGGTAGAGTAGAACCCAATTCCGTCCCACGCCCCCATAGGGGCGCCCCTGGGCCCCATGCCCTATCACCGATGCCGCCGCTGTCGTTTTTTTTTTTTTGTAACTTGACCTGTGTGATGTATTGAAATATACAGTTCTTACATGCCTTTTTTACAAGTCTAGAGAACGGGAAGAGAGCGTCGGAAACACATTCTGGGTATTTTGCGAACACGTTGAGAGGACGTTGCGAAAATGTTTAGGACGTTTACTCAGGGTCGCAGGGACGGCAATACGAAGTAGCGACAACGTGGTGCGCACGTGATAAAAACGTCGCAGAGACGTTGCCAAAGCGTTCTATACTCCTTGTTGTCCACGTTGCGGAAACGTGGTGACAACGTTCCAAAAACACTGTTGGCACGTTACAGAAAACATTTCATAACGTTGGCGGGACGTTGTGAGAACGGTTTTGGGGCGTCACGGTCACGTTACCGAAACGTTGTGATGACATTCAAATGCATGGTCGGATGACGTTGTCACGCCGTTGTCTGGAGTCTACAAAATTACGTTGTCACAACGATAAATCGGAACGTTGTGGTAACCATTTGACAACGTTTAAACGACGTTGTAACAACGGCAAATTGTTAGCTGGGACTATGTGTAGATGCGTGGTGCGAAAAAGTGGGTAGCAGAGAAGAACAGTGAAGACACCGTTGCAGCAGACACACATTTTCCCGTAAAGTCCCCCATCGGCATTACCGTCAACCTTTACCACCAGCGCGGTCGGTGCACTGTCGCGCGAGTTTGTAGCCAGCCATATCAGAGATGTGAACAATCCAGCACACGGGGGAAGAAGAAAGGGATGATAGCCACCCTTTCTCGCTGGATCCCGCGGTGAAAATGGACTAACGCCATTTTCAAGCCCACTGGTGCAATGTGAGATGAACTTGACATGAGGACATCAATGGGTGTCGATGAACGTGAAATGATGTTCCAATACAGATTCATATCGACCAGAAGCCTTTCTTATTCTGAGCTACGAGCAATAGATAGTACAAAAACAAAATATATTACATAAAATTCAGCCTGTCGACAGGAAACAATAAAAGGGTATTGTGTTACAACATATGGGTTCATATTACGGCTTCAGAAATTTGGGCCTCCAATGCTGATTTCTCAAATCAGCGCACAGTCCATATATAGAGAAGTCTGTGGATGAGCATATCGGTAATAGCGATTTCAGTGTGTGCATTTATTGTTCATAGTGGTGTGAAATGTGGTTGGGGTACGACCGACAACCCGTCGGGGCGAATTTCGCACTGGGGTACTCAAAATTTGAATAATTTAAGACGTTTCCATGAGTTTTGAAGGTATGGATAAGTTCTAAAAATCCGGTTCTCCTTATCTGGGCCATTAACTCCATACGGTCCAAGAAAGCTGGCACACTACCTTTAATAAACATTTTGTCTTTCAATGACTTAGATTTATCAGGGATCTCATAATGTTATATTCCATTTCCATGATATATTGTCATAATCCAAATCCATTTCTTGATAGTTTGCATGATAGGCTTACCCTGTAATAAACCGTGATATTTTGCAATTTGCACGATATTTTGCAACCGTCGGCAATGGTTGCATGATTTTTTTTTGCTGTGTTTTAGTAGGACGACTTGTGATATCCTTGTTTGTGAAAACAGATGCGCCAAATCTGTCTACTAATTTTGCATGTTGTTGTTTGTGTCTGTGGCTGGAGGTCGGAAGCCTGGTCGCAAGGTATATAAAAACACTCCTGGTCGGAAGGGTCGGAAGCGTCGGAGAGGGTGTATGGGGTGTTGATGGGTTTATAGGCATTTAAAAAGGTATGGTTATTTATTCACCGTGAAAAAATTGGTTAAAAGTATACATAAAGTCCGAGTGACTGTTAAAAGATAAAGTTTTCATATTCTTACATTATTTGACATCCTGAATCCAAAAATGATACTTATATGTCCTGGAAATAAAAGAAAAACATAATCAAACCTGACCTAACCTTACCTATTTACCTACGACCTACAAACCTGCAACCTAACCTAACCTAACCTACAAACCTACAGCCTAAAACCTAAAACCTACAAACCTACAACCTAACCTAACCTAACCTAAAACCTAAAATTTTTGCTGTTACATATTTGTATCAACAGCGCCACAATTGTCCACTCGGACCTAATATATACTAATACCAAAAATTGGTTGTAAAATGTTTTTAATCAGGCTACCTCACTTGATTGCCACTATTTCCAGTCCTTATGGAATTTCAACCGAATATTGCACCTTGCAGTGTGACATGGATCTGTATGCTCAATTCAGAGCATACAGATCAAGGTATGCTCTGAATTGAGCATACAGATCCAAATTCAATGTCCGGATTGAATTTTGATGTTTCAATCCGGATCAGGATTCAATGTTTCAATTCAGATCAAATATTGGATGATTCCGGGATAAATCTTTGAACAAATCTTTATGTCAATATGGCTGTGTTCAGACATAATAAGTGAAATGAAAATAGTATATGCCAACCTTACCTAAGTGTTAACTGAACCAATTCCAGGACAGACCTTGGTATAAGTAGAGCAGACGTCACACAAAGGTTTTCCAACCAAGGAGAGGTGCCATACCAATACCCGGAGGTGCTTCTTTCTAGGAAAACCTAAACAAACCTAACCTAACCTGACCTAACCTAATCTACAACCTACAAACTTACAACCTACAAACCTACCCTACAACCTACAAATCTACAGCGCCTCTCCTTGCTTGGTAAACCTTCATCTAACGTTTGCTCTATCAGTGCCCAGATCTTTGTATGACAAATCAAAATCCTTGTATTTTTTTTTATAAATTTTGTCTGAACCTTTTGATGGGAAGGATTCACAAGGACAGAGCCACCGCTAAGCGAAGCTTGTTGCGATCAGAAAGAAAGTTCAATAAACAGCATAACCTGACCTTACCTTACCTGACCTTACACACACATTCATTGCAGCCTTGGTTTCAGTTTGCCTCAATGCAGAAGTTGTACAAAAAAGCATAAGGATGAATTAGTGAATATTTGACCCAATACTTAAGTACCCAGTAAACATGCCGACGTCGGCCCGACGTCGGGCCGAGGCTCGGCCCGACGTCGGCCCAACGTCGGTTCAACCTCGGCCCGACATCGGCTGGACGTCGGATATGCCCGCATGTTCCGACGTCCAGCCGAAGTCCAGCCGACGTCGAGCCGAAGTCGGGCCGAGATCGTTTGCCGAGGTTGACGAGATCGTTCGTCGTTGGACCGACGGGGCCGACGTCGGCATGTTTATTGGGACAACGCGCCAAAAATATCAACCGGCGGCTGGATTCGAGCCCGCCAGTCGCCGACGTCGGCATGTTTACTGGGACAACACGCCAAAAGAATAAGCCGGTGATGGGATTCGAACCCCATGTCATTCGAACGCGAGGTTAGTGCGCTAACCACTACACCACGCAGCCAGCTAATGAATTTGGTTTGTTTTGTTGGGTTATGCCCTTTCGGTCTGACAACACCATTTCAGAGCCGGAAGGATCATAGGATGGAGACATTGTTCTTCTTGGCGAGCACCCTGGGTCCAGTTCATACAGAGTCCCTGGTCCCATTGCTGTTACGTGACACTTATTGGAAAGGGCGACCCCACAATGGATTCATATAGCCACTCTTACACAACTGCACCAACGTTTCCCAAAGTGTCCCTTTGATAAGTGGCACTTTGGCAAAGTGACACTTGCCGACTGGCCTTTCTATATGAACTGGGCCCGGCCCTGGTGAGTTGCCGGGGCTGAGCCTGACCAAAGGATAGGCCGAGCAGCCCCCAAGCACTCACCGCACCCGGCTACGGGCGAGCTCGGCTTACGGGCAATCCCAAATGGGATAAAGTTTCCCGTCCAGTCCGGATCAGGGGTTGCGGCGTGGAGGAAGATTTGAGTTTCCTGAGGATATTTTGAATACAGAAGCTCTTTATGAAACATGAAACATGTATTTTATATTATTTCATTGGTCAAAACAGCGGCCGATGTCGGTCCGACGTCACCCCGACGTCGGCCCGACATCGGCTGGACCTCAGCAATTGATCTCGGTCCGACGTCGGCCCGACGTCGGCTGGACCTCGGCTGGACGTCGGAACATGCGGGCATATCCGACATCCAGCCGACGTCGTGCCGAGGTTGGGCCGACGTCGGGCCGACGTCGGCATGCGGTTGCCGAGTTGCCGACGTCACCCCGACGTCGGCCGACGTCGGGCCGACGTCGGCATGTTTACTGGGTAGAATAGGCAATTGTTTGTCAATGACAAATTGGGTTGGTTCTGATATTGATTTGCTTTGCTTATTTGCATTATCAATTCTTCAGTCAGGCTGTAACCCTAGCCCTTTTGCGGCTGGCGACAAGAATGGCACGGTTGTTTTGGAAGGAGATGCTGATCAAAATTTTGTGTGTAATGGCTTTATAATGGCTTTATTATTTCAATTAGTACCTTGTAGAAACAAGTGTTCCTTAACAACATAATAAAATCAACTGAAACAAAGAGTGAATTATGCAATGTTTTGTCTCACGCGCACAGTTCATGTCAAAGTTTCCCACTCCGTAGTTATATGAAGCTAATTCATCACAGCATGCTATAATGCACTTATGAGCAAGTGAAGCATCAGAGTATTGTGTAGGTAGGATAGCATAAATTTATAAGTATGAGCACCAAGCAACCATCCAGCCTTGGTCACACTTCTGCAACCTCTGTCTCAACAACCACATGACTGATTCACTTGCAGTATTTTTTGTAAGGTAGTTTCATCCCTTCTACCAAGTATTGGACTGTTCCCGATGTAGGTGGGTGACTGCTAATGTGTGTGCCATGTTCAAAATGAAGAGTAACATTTGCAATTTTGTAACAATTGCAATAACTCCGCAAGCACTGGGCCAATTGTGCTGGAACTTGGCATGTAGGTAGGCACCCATTGGGCAATGCATTTTCATGTGCCAAGGCTGGGATGCTAGATACCTGCTACATGTGAGCACCTGCAGTGGCTGCTTCCCTGATCTCAAGAATCAAGGCCATATAAAGAATGGCTGGGCTGATTATGTTTAGATTTGTTGCACGGTAAGGGACCAACGAGTAGGGTGTCGTGCAAAAGTCAGTTAGGACCCAATTTGCACGTGTGCATGTGCCAGTCAGGTGCCACTTTCACATTTTGAGAACAGCTGAGCCAACTGCGCCCAAATTTGGCACACAGCCTTAGACTGGTTTGTAAGGTATCTTGCACAAGTCAGTTGGAAGTAGGGGAGAATGGGGCAAAGCAGCCACCTGGGGCAAAGCAGCCACCTGGGGCAAAGTGGCCATCTGTCATTGGGCCTTTTCTTGGAGGTTACTATCACAAATCCAAGAAACTCAGAAATACCTTCCTGTTTGTTTTGTTAATGTCAGTTTGTGCATTTTCTGGACATGTGACAACTGAGCTGTGTTTTCCGAGGTTCAAAATGACAAATGTCATTTTAAAGTTATTTTACTTCTCTCCATCTACAGGTTTGACCGAGCCAGAATGGTACCGTCATAGCCATGCAGTCCTGGGTACCGGTGAAGGACGCCGAGCGGCTGGCGGTGGGTAAGTAGCTCCACCCTTTTGTCATATTACGCTGAAATTGGAGATTGGCGTGTAATTTTAGAATTCAGTTTCGAGGACGCTCGGTCTGCAGCGTTCCTTTTCGCTCGCTGACAACCGGGATCGTGGCCGGTCCGTTACCCGTGCTTATCGCTGTCAGATGTATTGTAGCGGGCGTAGGAGCGACTGGATCATGGAACTCTGCAGAAGATGAATTTCAGTTTCCTTTACAAGTTGCCCCCGACCATGTTTTTTCAAATCAACACTCCCGTGTTGGTCGTCGGAAGTTGTCAGCACTGGCGGTCGCAGGGGGGGGGGCCACGGGGGCCATGGCCCCCCCTTGGGTGCTGAAAGGTGGGGCCATACTATCTTTTGGCCCCACCTTTCAGATCGAACAAAAGTCCTAGAAAAGCTTTCCGTATGTTTCATTTTCTTTCTTGCGCCATCAAAGGACGTAAATTTCACTCATGAGTGGGCTCAGTTTCGCATTCTGTCAATTTGGCGGTCAGCGTCGCTGGCACCGGTTCACGAGTATGGCCGGATCTTATATGGAATATCAGCGTGGGTTTACTTAAGGCTCTCGTAGGCCCAGCATTCAGCAATGGCTGGCATGAGACCCTCTTCGGCAGTGGCGGGTGGGCCCTGCTAAAGGAGATTGGCTCCAAGACACTAAAGTAAGACCTCAAGGGTTGGTGCTGTGCACCTCAGAAGCCCGGTGGTGATGCCGTATGCCGGCTTGGTTTCTTAAAGGGACCCTCCCACCTTAACATTAGTTTTGAGTTGAGATAGCCAAGTTTGCGGCCAGGCTCAGAAACCACCATTTATCCTGGTCGCAACCCCCGCAGCTTTATGGTGTTCAAGAAATCTCTTCCCTTTACTTGCAGGGTGGGACCAGCGTGGTCCCTATCTCTTAACCATTACGGGAATCTGATGACGTCATCAGGCTTTCGAACGTCCGTTAAATGTTTGACTTAAACGTTTTGTAGCACGCGGTGGTATATGCCGCTTTGCGCGCAACAAATGCCGCACTTTCAAATAAAGTCGCTAGGAACAGCGGAGATCCCAAAAAGTAAACAAAAGTAAAAGTCTAATATCTTGAAAACCGGTGAATATTTTTCGATGAAATTTGGTAAATATTCGTTTTTGCTCTTTCTGATCCGAGCGACATCACTTTCATGCCAATTCATTAACTTTTTTGAAGGTGGGAGGGTCCCTTTAAGGATTAGCGTGGGACCTTCGGGGCCTGCATAGAGTTTGCATGAGCTAGTATGTAATCTCAGAGGCATGTGTGTAATGTGTACACAGTGGCGGTCGCGGGGGGCCGGGGGGCATCAGGGCCATGCCCCCAAAGGTCAATAAAGGGGGCCATCATATCATTTGACCCCCCCCCCTCAAACAACCAATGGGCCCCCATATAGGTGTATGGGGCCCTGGCAATTATTCGATCGTCACGAGGCTAAAATAAACCACGCCAAGCTATTAATATAGCTCCCACACCGGTCTTTGAGCGTCCTACACTGACCTTTGAGGGAACTTCAGTGGCGGTCAAGCGCCCACGTTGACCGCTAAGAGCCTACATCAACCTCTGAGGCCCCACATCTGGCCTATGAGGGCCCCTAACCGGCCTCAGGGGTCCCAACCGGCGTCTGAGGGTCTCACACCGGTCTCTGGTGGCCTTATTTCTGTCTCTGGTGTCCCAAGATGAGCCTTTAGGTGCCAATAAGGGCCCCGCACCGGCTGCTGAAGACCCGATGCCGGCCTCTAAGGGTCTGCATTGGCCTCTGAGGAGGGCCCATCTTGGCCTTTGAGGGCCCTCTGCTGGCCTCTGGGGTCCAACGACGGCTCATGCCGGTCTTTTAGGGCCCCACGCTGACCTCTGAGGGCCCATGTTGGCCTGTAATGAGTAAGGACCCACATTAGCCTCTGAGAGCCCAACTCGGTCTCTGATGGTCTCAAACTACTGGCCTTTGTAGTTTGCAGGCCCTGTACTGGTCTCCGAGGGCCCTAAACTGGCCTCTATATGAAAACATACATGGGTGGGTTTCTGAAGATCAGAGGGCTCACGCAGTCTTCGGCACAGCCTTACGTTGGTCCTGATCGAGATTGCTTAAATTGCTTTACGTCCTGATGGTCCCGCGCTGATTCCCTCATATTTCGACGTCGGGTCCCCATGAGCCGGTGTGGGTCCTGGGGCTGGCAGAGACTGATGAAGTCCTTAGGGCTCAGGGCCAGTCTTTTTAGCAGTAGGACTACGCAGGTTGAGTGAGCCCCAACAGAGCCGTTGCGAAGCCCCGCAGGAGTCGCGCGCGGCCCTCAGCTGCCAATTCTGCAAGCTCGGAACCTCTGGGGGTCTCCAGAGGTCGGTGTACCTACTCTCTCCCGCCGCCACACAACTAGGTTAAGGTACCTGTATGGGTAAATGTCATAGTCTAAAAATGCTCTCTGGGTTTCACATGCTTGTTCAAAGCAAGAGGTATCTGTACTTTTTAGCAAGAGGTACCTACCTATCTGTACTTTTCCGAATTGTTTTATAGTGGTAAGGTCATGAATCCGCGTGCCTGACCTTCCAGTATACCTATGCTACACCGATCCGTCGTCATGGTGCAGCGGCCCGACCGGTGGGCACACCGTGAGACGGTAAATGGAACTGGTGATTTTGCCTTAAATTGAGCTCAAAGATTTCACGCAAGAATGAGATGGATGAAGCATAAGTAATGCCAACTGTGCGGCGCCTCGTGGACGTAAAAAATTAGCCGATCACCCCCCCCCCCCCTCCCGGTGACGGATAAATGTTATGTCCCGCGAGTGTGACTTTGGCCCCCCCCCCCCCTTTTGCTAGCGGCTGCGACCGCCAGTGGTTGTCAGCGGATAAGTGTGGAACGTCGAATAGCGTCGTTGGACATGTTTTAGTGGTTTGGTTCAATGAAGTGACGATCAACTGTCCTTCCCCAATGTTGTCTGGACCGATTTTCAGTCGTGAAAGTGTTAACCCGGCACCGCCTGGGCTATTTCCGTACCCACATCAGCCTGGGGGGGGGGGGTCGGATCCGACCCCCCCCCCTGTTATCTCGAGAACCAATGGTCGTATCGAGCCCCGCGAGGCGGCGTTCGAAAGGTCTCTACGAGACCTTCCCAAAGCACTCTAAAGATTTTAAGATTGAGGTCAACTTTCGGGTCAAGGTCAGGTCAAAGGTCAAATTCAGGGGTTTTGCATGATTAGGCTTACGGACAGCGGAATCGATAGCTGCTGTTCGAAACTCACCACAAATGACCTCAAAGACCTAGTGAAGGTACCATGTGCGTATAGGGGTCATACTAAGTACGGGTCAAGGTCAGGTCAGGTCACGAAAGGTCACGGTTTTCACTTTCTGCTACATGGGCGTGCGACACATGTTTTATGGCTTATTTTTCACGCCAAATCCGATGGTAATGGTTATATGTGACCCCAAGTCACTGTGCTGGTGATAAGTGTGCATTGAAAGCATAAAAAATCGTTTATACTAAACGAGGGCTGAGAAAAAAGGTCAATTTTTCAACTTTTTATTTTTGACATAAAAATGCACTTTTCTAGACGAGCTTTGTCCCAGGAATCTAGTGGTGCCATTTGTTTTCACATGCGATGTTCAGAAGTGCCTCTAATTCGCTAAAATGTTTATGACGTCACCATGCCCTATGCATGTTGGAGCTATTTTTTACAATTTGGGGGTCAAAAATCAAGATAGAAAGTTGAAATTTGGGACATCTAATGTTCTAATAGAGCTCTATAACATATATTCCGGTTTTTTGAAAATTCTCAAAATTTTGGATTTTATTAGCTGTTTTCCCAAAAATATAGTTTTTTGAATTTTTAGGGGTGAAAAAACGCATTTTATGGAAAATCCGAGATAGCCATTTTAAAGAACTCGTTGAGCTGCGTCTTTTCATGTCCTTAATTTGCAATTTGCTCAAAACCTCGATTTTTGGCGATTTTTTAAACATTTACCATTTTTTGACTGAAAACGCCATGTAGTTACATCACTAAAATCGATATATCTCAGAAATTTTTGAAATTTTTTTCTTAAAAATTGCACAGGAGACGTCAAATTGATGGGGGAGAAGGTATGCGAAGTTTCAAGTTGATAGCGCAAGCGGTTCATGAGTTATTCAAGAAAAACGGAGGGGGGGGGGGGTCGGATCCGACCCCCCCCCCCAGGCGGTCGCGGGTTAATTAATGGGCGTCAACAGATTGACATCAGTCTTCGTTCAACACTGTACTGAAGTGACTCCCCGGGAGAGTGTCGAACTGTAGATTTGTGTTCCAGATATCAATTTTATGCGAGTACCTGGCTGCAAATGAATTGGCATAAAGTTTGTGCATGGGGAATTTCACTCCATATTATACAGTTCATGACTCCTTCGAATTAAGAACATTAATTGAGTCATCTTTGATCGGTGTGCACAGCAACAGACCAGTTCTGCAACCGACTTGCGCCTTGCCAGCGTGAACCTAATGGGCGCTTAATAACTTCGCTGTCGACACTTCAACTGAACAACAACAAACAATCATCAAGCCAGTGTGATTCGTCAGCGCGCTCACAGTGGCGGCCAGCCGACTGGATGGTCACGGCTGGCTCTGTGGTCACGTTATGAGGCGAGCCGTCAGAAGGGCGCGGCGTCTGGACGGCCGGGGACACGGCTGGTGCGGCCAGTACGGCGTCACGTCCGGTGATAGGGACCCAGTGTCCGCCCGCCCGCCCGCTGCTACTGTCGTGGGCATGTCCGCTGTCCTCGGTCAGACGGCCGCTGCGGCAGCACGGGTAGAGAACGCGACCGGCCGAGAGCACGGGCAGAGAGCGCGACTAGTCGGGCGCTCCGGGAGGGGAGGAAGTGGGGGGGGGGGGATAGCGACCTCAGCTCGTGACTCGCGCTTTCATTCATTCGTTCGGAAAACGGTGCTGAATGTAATGGCCATTGGCCAGGTCAAGTCACGCTATATTGCGAATCACTTCGAATGCTTCAGTTGGGTACGCAAAGTGGTTGTTTTTCGGTACAGAATTTGACCATTGATTAAAACATATTTTTACTCCTCTCTCGTTTGGTGGATTGCAAAATAGATATCCTTGCCAGCAAGTCCCCTAGCCACGCGAGCGGTCACGTGGATGAAATTCGATCCAGATGGTCTCAGATCCCACCACCCCGGTCACCTCTTGAGGTGACCACCTCAACTCAACATCCGGAGATGGACGAGCGAGGTAGAGGCTGCGCAAGTCTTGAATATTGAAACATACGGATTTCTTAGCCGAGGATTTGGATCGAGTTAGATAACCGGTGTTCGGTATCCAATTTTTATGTCATGACCTCTTATATAATTTGGCATATCATATAGCCTGTTTCAAATTACTATCAAGTTTGCAGCCGTTTTTTTTTTTACTTGATAGTTAAAGACGCCTTCAGTATTTTTCAATTCATTTGAATGTAACTAGGTGGTGAAAATGATGCCGCCATTTTTATTGTTGCTAATTTTCTTCCAATTTACCATATTCACTCTATTGGGACATTGCCTCAGATACCTCGTGTATAAACAAGCATATGCGCGTCTACGCGCCCAAACGTCCACTTACAAAGCACCAAGCCAGCTTTAGTGGTCACGACGGTGACGGTTCACTTCCGTTTTGTCCGAGCGTGTGTCAAACCGGCGCGTCCGTGACTGGTCGGCGTGGTCTGGTTCCTACGTGGACCGATCACACACCGTCACCTGTTGGGGTTTGGACGGTGCGTCACCACTGGGAGCGGCCGTGGGTTGGGCGCTGTCCACTGTCCACTGTCCACTGTCCACTGTCCACTCAGCTGTTGTTGGTCAGCTGGGGGACTTGATGAAGCCCTTACCGAACATACCCCAGCTGATGGTGCATAAAGGCGCGGCGCTGTGTTATCCTAGCATTTAACTGTTAAATCCTAAGTACTTTCGGCGTACTCGGTCAGGCTGCTGGTATAAAGTGTAGATAGTAGTTAGGCATCGTGCTATCATGCAATTGTGACCGCTCCAATAATTCCGCATTTTGTTTTTGAGACTTCTTGGTAGGTATGCCCGCAATGTTATACGAACTTTGACACGCTTGTGCTATTTTTGTGCAACGATGTGCTATTTTTTGTCTTTCCTTTTTCCACCTGCTCTACTTCACGCTCTTTTCAGCTTTACTTCGGCATAATATTGCCTACTTCTGTTATTCATCAGTCACCATTTTATCTTTTTCTTTAACTGGATTTCTTTTTTTTCTTGTAAGCTCCAAAGTCTATCGACACCTTACGTTGACCGATCTCTGACCATCGCTCTCCACCTGTTGACCCCCCCCCCCCCTCCCCCCGGCAGCGGTGTACCCGTTCCTGGGCTCGGGGCAGCACCAGATCCCGTTCTCCATCGGCGACACACTGCACATTCTGCAGCGATGCGGCGCCTGGTACTACGGCTACGCCACCAACAACCGCGCCTTCAAGGGCATCTTCCCCTGCAGCTTTGTCCGCATCAAACGCTGCGTGGTCGACAAGTCGCTGTGAGTGAGAGTGAGACGGCCGTGTGTGTGTGGGGGGGGAGGAGGGGGATGGTGCATGATGTTATGTAGGTGCGTGCGTGCGTGCACGGATGTTTATCTGTAAGCCAGCATATGCATGTGTGTTGGTGAAGGGGCTGCGTGAAAGTCATTAATAATCTGTCTGTTTTCGATAGGCACTGCGTAAACTCGCCTCAAATAGTAACGAGCTCTTGGTGCTCAGTCACGCTCGTCACATCAATACTGTCTGTCTTTAACGGACTCGGCATGACTACGCAATGGACTCGCTGACAGCCGCCATAGATCTCGTGACCACTGCCCCGTTTTGTGTCAACAGCAAGGGCGCCGGCACCGTCATAGCCCGGGAGAACCCGCTGCTGCACGAGGTGACCTCCGTGCTCCGCGAATGGGGACACATCTGGAAGAAGCTCTACGAGGTGAGTTCTTTCCATCCAGTCACCAATTTACTAGACCACTCCACGTAACAACCTACTGGCCTCACTGTCACAATCTGCCAACGGTCACGCAGGCCTAACGCCAGCTAACATTGACTACTGAAACCTACTCATCGGCTTTGACGAGAATATGATATTTGCTGATCAGCTACGTCAGTGCGATCAGGCTTAATGTGTGCTTTTGTTCAATCGAAGTTCATTGGAGAGACTCTTCTTCCATTATCGTGATCCCAGATTCGTATTTTACGATATTTGTTTATCATCTTTCACCCAATAGGTATCCATTAGTATCTTGTCAGAGAGGCTGCCTCGTTACTTCCTAGCTTATTTTACTTTTTCATTGATGCCCCGTGACGCCCTGCGATGTTACGATAAAACCACTTTGGCTTACTCGTGACGCCTCGGCCTGACTGTCCTCGACAGACGAGCGACCCGGCGCTGAAGCCCGTCTCAGATATGCTGCACGACCTGATTCGGCAGCGGCGGAAGATCATCGCTGGCACTCTGCCGACTGACGAGCTACGTCACCTCAAACGACAGGTCACCGCCACCATAGACCGGGGAAACGAGTGAGTATCAGCCACCATAGACCGGGGAAACGAGTGAGTAGTAGCCGGGGAGAAGTACGGGAATGCTCTAATTTTGTGGAGGGCTTCAGATGAATGTCCTGTTTTTATACACGGGGATTAATTAAGACGGGCGGGAAATCGTTTCCATGTCCTTGCCGTTGAAACGACCGGTTGTGTGAGCTGTTGGTGGATGTGTATCCTCGCCTAATGAGCACAGCACTTCCTAATCACGTTGACATGATTTATAATTAGCAGAACCACGGACTTCTCTATGCATAGATATAGAGAACAGTGTGGGTCAGGTGTGGGTAAGCAAGCGAGTTTGGATTATCATCACACTGCCTGCGAGTTTTCATCGTTTTGCCGCAATGTCACGTGCCAATGACGTGTGAGGGGCTCGCTGAATAGTTTGCCGAGTCGCGTGTAAGTTTGGCACCGGCCACGTGACTCCGGACGCTGAGAGCATGACTGGCTATAGTTACAGTCGCCAGACGCCGCTACCTAGTCTGTACCCAACCACATAAACAGGTGCCTCAGTGTTGTGGAAACGTGTCCCACAACAGCTGCAGCGTCGGGTGTGGCGGCGTCGGCCGGCCAGACGACCCCCAGCCGCCCGCCGCAATGGCTGCGCTCCGACCGCGTCAGGCAGCGCTGCTGCTCTGCTGTGCCCTGGTGGTCGGTGGCTCCTACTACCACCAGCAGCGCGTGGTGTTCCTCTCCGACCCTGTGGCCGAGCGGTCGGCCGCCGCCCCGCTCGACTGCTCCTTTTGGTGTGATGGCCACACCGGTTGTCTGGGGTTTACGCATCAGACCGACGGATTGTGTCATCTGTATGACACGCAACCGCGCCTGGCTGTAGATCCTAACGCCGTCCTGCCAGCGACGTTCACCAAGACGCCCGTGCCCGCCTGCCCGCCCGGCTGGCTGATGTTGGGCAGCAAGTGTTTTCATCGGTTCCTCACCGTGCCGGTACGGTACGTCTGGGCCGACCTGCGGGCCATGTGTCAGGCGCACGGCGAGGGGTACGATATGGCGGTGCCGCTCTCACAGTGGGAGAGCAGCTGGATGAACTACCACTGGTCGCGCACCGTCGAGGCTGAGCTGACAGGCATGGAGGAGAGAGCCGGCGTGTTCTACGACCTGCATGGAAACACGATCAACATTCAGCTGGATATGCAGGCGTCTCGACCTGACCCGGGCTATGTCAACCTCAAACTTGACCACCATACTGAGACGTGGTATACTCGCCCGGCGGGGGCTAAACTGCAAGCAGCCATCTGTGAGACTGCTGGAAGCTCCTGTCCGCGGGGCGACCGCTGCCCGTCCGGCTGGATGGGCATGGACGACTTCTGCTACTACGACGTATCAACCACTCTGTCCTGGGATGAAGCTGAGAGCCACTGCGCCGCGCTGGCGCCGGGAGCGCACCTGGCACCTGTAGTCAACATGGAGACGTACCGCGTCATCCACCACGGCAACTCTCTGGCAGAGACCTGGGTCTGGGTGGGCGTGACGGACGCGCTGGTAGACGGCGAGTGGAAGTCGGCGGACAACTCGCCGGCTAACTTCACCTGGCTGGCCGGAGAACCGAACGGCGGCTCCGGAGAGAACTGTCTGCTGATGGCTAAAGACGGAGGCGGAGACGCCATCTGCACTGAGCTGCAAGACTTCTTCTGCGGCCTGCCCGTGGCGGTCTGCGTGGAGTAGTGGCGTCGATATCCTCGGAAGAACGTCAGTCTTGACGGCTTGGCTTAGTTTGTTTTGTCTTTGACGACTGGCGGAGGAATGAAACGTGCTAGGGAATCAAAACAGAACATTAATGTTTAATCAATTATTCATTCCTCTTCTGAGCATAATAGCTCCTTTCTTCCCTTGTCTGTCCAGCTAACTACCTGCTCGTCTTCACAGACATTTTATCAGTCCTTCCACCCTTTCGATATACAGATGGTTCACACTTTTCGAACTCTTCGATTACTCCGCTTTAAGTTTTAGAAGTAACGTCTATTTGCGCCAAAGGCGCTCCACATGAATCGCGGTATATTAAAAAAAAAACATCGGTCTCCCTCCATTCAAAACATGGTTCCCTGTCCTGTAACCGTACATTTTTTTAATCTGCATGGTTACATTGTTGCTAGAAAATGACAGCAACTGCAGCTGAGACAGCTTTTAATTTAACGAATGTTCTGCATTATTTTCCCGGTAATCGCACGACAATTTGACTTTGTAGTGCCAACATTTATCTGCATTGGTTGCTGCTGACGTGGTCTGAGGTTCTTGAGCCGGCTCACTTGTATGAAATGCTCGCTGTGGCAGATAGGTGCGTGCATATCGAAGCCTCGTCTCTTATTTTGTGATCTGATTGCACGCCCTAAACTCATAATGGATGGCCTATACTCTCGGATAATTCGTCGCTTTTTTAGGGTTTGTCTGACCAATTCGTTCAGGCTCGCTAACTTCTGACACGTAGGTGTTATCTGGTGGTATTATGGTGTTATCAGGTTACTATGTTTGCGTCGTGTACCGTTCTATTTAGGTCGACAGCTTTTTCTTCATTCTTGTTTATACGAGTCATATGTTGCTCTCCGTCTTTCACATTGTACTAATAAAATCTACTAAGCAAATAATGGTGTGCGAAGAAGTTGAGTTGTTGTGTAAAAGTGCATCAATTTATAGGTATGTTTTCAATTCACCACGATCGCAGTTGCTTATGGCCGGCCAGGTGAATGCTTCACATCCATCATCGTGTTGAATAGCCAGTGCGTCACCGACGACTTGGTCAGTCCGTCATGTCCGTGTAAAAAAAGAAGAAAACACTCATGACCCGACGTCGACAAGACCCGCTTTGTATTATTCTTATTGATGACTTTTTCGTAAGCGAGGTTGAAAACTGGATACCCCTGACAAATTAAACATGAATTTCGTTTCTGTACACAGCTGTTTTTTTGTCAGACTCGACTTCGTTAGATGCAGACGTGCATCGACGCTGGTCGGTATGCCGCTTTGATCTTAACTGCATACCCGTGCTACGGATATTCCCATGCACTCCACTTGGCTGATCTGAAATTATCTGTGGCTTAGTTAATTCCAACTTTAAAAAGTTCCACACTGTGTTTTGCTGTTAGTGTTATTCAGAATATAGGTGACTACCTGAGGACACTAACTAGGATAAAAATCAGAGAATGTGTTGCTACCTGAGGACACTAGGATAAAAATCAGAGAATGTGTTGAGAGGATGTCCGCCCATAGAGCATGTCCCCAAATGGGTGTGAACTTCATCGTATAGGAGTTGGGGCAATGCCGGGGTTGGGGCAAAGCCGAAATTCGAGATATTTCGAAAACCGTACGACATGGATGCCACCTGTCAGTAATGCTCTGAAGCTTAAGTGACTACCAATTATCGCATGTTTGTTACCAGTCGTCATTCGGAATACTTCGGCTGTGAGGACGCCAAGAGCGTTTTCAGGGTACGTTTCCTTTGTACTACATGCGTCTTCGAAGCTGCATTTCCTACTCATTATGCTACCGTTTGTCTGGCCAATTGGGTCAAGTAATCTTCAGCACGTCTTTGCATAAGTGTGCTGCCTATTTGAAATTTATACAGCACGTTGAAAAGTTATGGGCCTGCAAATGAAAGTATGGCTGGCTGGGGTAATGCCGAAAACGTGCAATTACGCGCGTTAAAGCACGCTACGTGAACTTTACCGCTGTAGAATAGCAACGCGCATTTTTAGTCACACAAATTACACTTTTAACCGACACAGCGGCCTGTTACCATAAGGAATGATTTACCTGGCCTTTTCTTATTATATCACACAATTATGACTTCCAGTGTGCACCAAGCGTCCTCAAGCTCTAAAAACGCGTGTCAGCTTTGACGAATTCTGGATAAAATTTGAGATAAAATAGCAAAACATCAATTTCGGCATTCCTGTAGATCATTTCTCCCATTTTCGGCTTTCCCCGCAGTCCGGGGCAACGCCGAAAAAGTCACTTATTTGATATTTTTAGTTTGTGCGCTTAACGGTATGCGAATTCATCAAATGCGCCTTGTATGTTTGAAAGGCAAAAGACTGGCCTCTCGAATGACGCCAACAAGAATAGCTTATGTTGTCTACCTTGCGTGCTACGGGCGTCAGAAAAAAAGTATTCGGCGTTCCCCCAACTTCCCCTATGCACTTTAACACTTAAACATCGTATATCTCGGCAATAGCGAGAACTGATAAATCACCACACAAGTTCACGAGGAACTCAGCTTGGCAGGCGTGGTGTTTTTCCATGCTCGTTATTTGTTCTTTGTTTCCATGACAACATTGAGTGGGGCCGCTGGAATGCTTGTAAATACTACTTGAATTTCACTAACTCAGGCTATCCCGGGTACCCAGGGAAAGTCTCGTGAGTGGACCGTATTTATTAGCAGCGTGGCGACTGAGACCTCGCGGCGATGCGAGCCCCGTGGTCGTTAGCCACCGTTCTGCCTTGTGCTGGCCACTTCCTGGGACATTTAACCCCTCCGGCCATGGACAAAGAACTGGCGACTTTTTGAGCTCACCACACGACATCATTCTAGGCACTTGAAGCAGCAAATGGCTCCACCGACTGGGCATGCCGTGACTTATAGTGTTTATGTTTGGTATGCTATAATTTACATTGTCGCCAGTATTCGCGAAGTAGTGTTGGCAAGCCATGTCTAAATGCAGTCACTTTTTGCCATTGATTATCCTCATGGTGTGAATGGAACGAATTGTTATTACCTAAGCTATACAAATAGCGGTGACTCGTGTGCAATGTGATTTATGAAGCTTTTTTCAACCCCACACTTTGCCTCCAACCGCTCTCCTCCTGCTCTCCCTCTCACTCTGCCCCCTCTCTCCATAGACTCCTGAAGCTGGACCTGGTGGTGCGTGATGATCAGGGTAACATTGTCAACCCCGACCTCACCTCGGCCGTGAAGCTGTACCGGCACCACCAGCAGGCGGCCAGTCGCAGCCAGGACTCAGAGGTACGGCGAGCAGAGAGAGCCCTGCGCTGGTGCCTTTTTGGTGACTTTTATGGTGAAATTTACTGGACAAGTGTGTAAGGTATGCTAAATGCTGCATCTGGTAAAACGCCTGTGTTGTGCCTGTCTGATGTAGGCTTTTTCTTTATGTTATGTTGTGTCGGTGAGGTAAACAGATTTGCGTGGTCCCGATGTTTTGCATTTTATGATTTAAACAGGGTGTTTCATTAGCAGGTACTTCACAATTCTAGCTAACAGTTCGCCAGGCACTAAGACTGGCATTTGCATGTCGACTTACCATAAGTCGTATAGAAAAAGTGTAGGCGGCGACGGCGTCAATGGAGGCCCTGGCCCCTGAGCACATATAAATAGCCTTTGGAATGCGAACGTCCCTGCACCTCTATGTAGCTGTACTGAACTGTTACTTGAAGGCTCACCCAGTCTTACCTCCTCTACCCCTTCCCCTCGTGTGGTAGGGAGAACGGCCCTTGAAGGTTCAACTGACCCATCCTGGCCTCTCCCCTCCCCCCTCTTGCGGTAGGGAGAACGGGCTCTGAAGCGGACCCAGCAGCACAACAGTCACTGTCTGTACGTGACGGTACAGAACTGCGTGTGTCGCCTGGACGAGGATGCCGAGATTGTGCTGCTCATCTGTGACGCCTCTGATCCCGGTCGGCTGAAGGTGGGTGGGGTGCTGGAGCAGACGGGGCTGGAACCTGAGGTGGCAGTGGGTGGTTTGTTTAGGGTGGGTGAGTGTGCAGGATTCGAAACGGCGATTTCATGAAAGAAGTCTGTGTCCGGTAACTTCTTGGGGCTACGGCTGGTTGCATCGACTGCTCCTCTCGATTATGCTTGATTCTTAACCCGCGCACCGACGGGGGGGGCGGATATCCGCCCCCCCCCTGAGGTTTTTCGCGGATAGCGGGAAAACCGCGGCGCGTAGCGCCGCGAAATTTGGTATGACTATTCTCTCATCAATTTTACACATTGTGTGCAAGTTTAAACCTCCTAACTTTTAAGGTCAGGTCACCAGGTCACTTTGAATGACCCAACCTCAAGTCACTTTTTTGCAACTTTGTCACCGTGCCAGAGCTACAGTAGATGTCGGAGGCTTTTGAAAGTCGCAGGATGTTATTAGGTCATTAGTAGCTACAATTTGTATATCTCGGAATTTTGATGTCGGTGACCTAAGGTCAGGTCAATTTCGCGACCTCCCCATTATAAGTCAATGGGGGGGGGGGGGGAAAATCAACTCCCTGTTTTTACCACTAAAACGGGTCGGAATGGCCCCATATACCATACATGACTTCACATACGATCAACCTTCACTACCTTGAGGTCTGTTTTGCTGTTGGGCAGCTGTAAGGTCATGTGACGTCATCAAAGGTCACCAAAGGTTTTTTGCCAATAACTCCTTACAGGAACAAGATACAGCCGCGCGGATGGTCTCATTGTGTTCAGCTCGTCAAGACGCATCGAATGATATACATGATGACCTCGAGGTCACGTGACCTGAGGTCAACCTTTGACCTTGACCTTTCGAGGTCAACATATATATCATTCGATGCGGATCGACGAGAGGATCACGATGATGCCCTTAGTTTGTTCCTATCTTGACTACTTCGAAAGTTATTCGAGAAAAACCCTCTCCATATCTAGCGCCGCCATTTTGACTTTTTCGACCCCTGTGACGTCATCTTTGACCTGACCTGAAAATGACCTTAGTAAAAATTGTAGACCTTGTCCGTGCGTATCCGATGCCGTTTACCGCTTGTCGCTATCTTGCTTCGTTCTCGAGATCTCAGGGGGGGGGGCGGTCATCCGCCCCCCCCCCCCGTCGGTACTAAGTTGGCGCAGACCCCCGTCGGTGCGCGGGTTAATATCCTCTCTTATTATGCTGCCGTTATTTCCATTTCTATTTGAATGGTCGTGCAACCAAGTGAAGTAAGTCACAAGCGTTGCCAACTCCTAATTAATATCTCATCATAGCTAATAACTCCTTTGCAAACTCTTCCGATGTATTTAGCGGATGCCATCGAAATGTTGTTGAGTGTGGGGCCTACCTCACGCTCTCTCACCCGTCTGTCTCACACCCGTCCGACTCCTCTCACCAGGTTCTCACCGAGCCGTACGTGGTCACGTGGAAGGAGGGTCTGGAGAAGAACATGGACCAGCTCAGCAGTCTGCGGGTCCTCTACACGGTAAGAACGGGGATACTGGTGCCTCTTGAACAAAAAGACGAGTTCGTCTTAGGTCACCGCTCTTACTGTGTCTGACGCGGATTTTAGGTGTTCCGCTAACACACTTGTATATACGAGTATATGTATATTTTACATATAGAGGTGCTGGTGAGTTTTTTTTTTGTGCGATATTATACAGTATGCGAACTAAACGTCGCAATATTTTCCGGATATGATCATTATATCATCGTGAAACATATTCCTCGACGTTATCTGGTGCTCACTATCTATTTTATGCACATCTATGATGTTATGGACAATTATTATTAATTTGGCTGTGATGGCTGTGAACAGGAACTTCTTTTATTGTACACTGTTCTAGCTCCACCCTCTCCAAACTCCCGATCCGGCATCTGACTGACCGGTCCGTACGTGCCCTCACCCCCAGGACCTGAGCAACTCGGACATCGCCTCGGACCGTCTGTTCCTGGTGGGGTACGTGGTGAAGGTGGGATCCTCGGCCAAACATGACGCGGCCGCCGGACGACGCTCCATGCAGATCTCACACAAGGTGCGTATGGGATGGTGGGAACCCCTGGGTGGGAGCGGTGGTGGTGGGTGGTGGGATGGACGGTGTGGGTCGATGAGTGACGAGCGATGGGACAGACGGGATGTCGGGGTGTCTGGAAGTTCAATGGGATGGGAGTGGACGGTGGGTGAGGGAAGGATAAGTGATGGTTGGTGGGGCGGGTGGTTGTTTGAGGTACTGGGAGGAGCACAGCTGTGCGTTACATATATTCCAGTAGTGAAAGAAATCAGTAAAAGGATGGATAAAGATCTTACCTTCGTGAAGTGCGGATGAAACTGTACGAGAACTGTAAAAAATTTCTTCCGACACCTTGCACTGCTCACTCCACCAATATTTCATATACACAAGTAAGGATCTTCACCTTTTGGGTGACCACTAACCCGCGCTGGGCCGGGGGGGGGGGGGGTGTTTGAACACCCCCCTCTTCGGTTTTTCGCAGATATCTCAAAAACGGCTGCGGCCCGTTTTTGGCACATCTGTTGGTGCATCTTTTCCGCACATGATGTGAAAATTTCAGACCCAGGTCGCTCAAGGTCAGGTCACCAGGTCACGCCAAATGACCTCACCTCAGAAATAAATTAGAATGCTCGTCATAGTCACACCGAGTGAACGACTGCCTTGAAACTTTTAGCTATTGATAGGAGTAATAGTATATATAAAACGTATATCTCGGAATTTTGATACCGGTAACCTAAGGTCGGGTCAATTTTGCGGCTTCTCCATTATAAGTTAACCCGCGAGTTGCTGGGGGGGGGGCGTTAAACGCCCCCACTTTTTCGCCGGGCCATAGCATAAAAACGGCGCGCCGCAGGCGCGCCAAATTTTGGGTACCCGTAGGGAATTAATTGAAGTTTATTTTGACAAAGTTTCAAAAAAATCGGTCGGAAAATTTTTGAGATATCAAGGTTTTAGTGACGTCATCATTTCTGAGTTTTCGACCAAAAACGGCATATGTTCAAAAAATCATATAAAATCACACAATAGACATACAGACATGCCGTAAACGCCATTAGACTGCCAATACCATGAACAATCAAATGGCTATCTTCGATTATTGATTATCGTTCCGCATTTTCCAAAATCTTGAACTGAATCTTGGCAATTTCTCGTGACTACTTCACGACCATGATACATGAATTTCTTAAATTGAACTTTTTGAGCCAAACACGTACACATATGATAAAATGAATGTCACCATCGTGTTCTACGCCCTAAATTACCCATAAAACATGTGTCACAGGCTGCGAATATCAGTTTTGATTTTCGGGGATATGTTCCTACCCGGTTGACCTGACCTTGACCCTGACCTATGCTTGACTGACCCCTACATGGAGCTGACACTCTTGTAGGCCTTATATGATGGATTGTGTACCGTTTTGACAGAGTTTATGACGAGAGGCGCCCATCGCGAAGTCCTGAAGTCCATACTACTGAAAGCCCGATTTTGGGTGTTTGACCTGACCTTGACCCGACCTGTGACCTCAAAATTCAACTTTAAAGTACTCATCTGAAGCGTCTCGTCGCGTTCTTTCGTTTGCCGCCTCGTGCGTTTCGCTGCGCCTATTGGTTCTCGAGTTATCGGCTGGGGGCGTTTAACGCCCCCCCCCCCCCAGCAAACGGTGGGTGGCGAAATACCCCAGCAACTGCCGGGTTAATGGGAGGAAATTGAAAAGCATCTCTTTTGCCAGAACGCCATTCTAGACAATCTCAAACATCGGGATGCAGGTAAAATTAACACCCTGAACCGGAAAATGGCACCTGTGACCTCTCGTTTTGTCCCCGAAGTCATCTCAGGTCACGAATAGTATCTAACAGTTTTTCGCTAATAATTTCTGATAGATGCATGCTAGAGCGATGAAAACGCCTTAGATGTGTTCGGCTTGACGATGCGGATCGACTGATATGCAACATGGCCTTTTCCGGTCAGGTCATGACCTTGACCTGAGGTCAACTTTCCAAGTTGACCTGTCAAGGTTAACCCTATTCCTGGCGGGGGGGCCTCAGGAGCCCCCCCCCCCCTGAGGTTTTTTGGTTATATCTCCCAAACGCGTTGAGCTAGGAAGCTCAAATTTTCTGACTTTTCCTAAAAGGCTTCTACGCAACATGTCTGAAAATTTTGAGTTGATCTGACCTCAGGTCAGGTCACCAGAGGCGGTTTGGTGACGCTACCTCAGAAAAGTTTGCAATCACGCCAGAGCTAGAGTTTTTGACCGATCAATTTCTTCTCTTCAGGGTTTAGTTAGGGTACCAGTATGTGCAATTTGTATATCTCGGAATTTTGATATCGGTGACCTAAGGTCAGGTCAATTTCGCGACCTCCCCATTATAAGTCAATGGGGGAAAAATCAACTCCCTGTTTTTACCACTAAAACGGGTCGGAATGGCCCCATATACCATACATGACTTCATATACGATCAACCTTCACTACCTTCAGGTCTGTTTTGCTGTTGGGCAGCTGTGAGGTCATGTGACGTCATCAAAGGTCACCAAAGGTTTTTGGCCAATAACTCCGTACAGGAACAAGATACAGACGCATGGATGGTCTCATTGTGTTCAGCTCGTCAAGACGCATCGAATGATATACATGATGACCTCGAGGTCACGTGACCTGAGGTCAACCTGTGATCTTGACCTTTCGAGGTCAACATATATATCATTCGATGCGGATCGACGAGAGGATCACGATGATGCCCTTAGTTTGTTCCTATCTTGACTAATTCGAAAGTTATTCGAGAAAAACTCTCTCCATATCTAGTGCCGCCATTTTGACTTTTTCGACCCCTGTGACGTCATCTTTGACCTGACCTGAAAATGACCTTAGTAAAAATTGTAGATCTTGGCCGTGCGTATCCGATGCCGTTTACCGCTTGTCGCTATCTTGCTTCGTTCTCGAGATCTCAGGGGGGGGGGGCCGAATCGGCCCCCCCCCCGCCAGTTTCTTGTCCCGGCGGAGCCCGCCAGGAATAGGGTTAAACTTAGTTCATTCGGCGCGTCTTCATGAGAGGAACATGATGCTGGCAAAAGTATTGTCGTGGCTCTTTTGAGTCAAAAGTTATTGAAAAAAAACACTTCTTAAAAACGGCTATTTTTGGAGTTTTTGACCTCTGGAGGCTAAACCGTCAACCTGAGGTCAAATCTGAGGACATGGCGGCGAAAGTGCGTTAAAAGAGCTATCGAATGCGCTTTTCCGCGGAGCTGTAGCTCTATTGGTTCCCGGGTTAGCCGTTGGCAGCTTCCAAAATATTGAAATAGCCAACATTTTACCTTTGGTGTCCTCTGGTGACCTGACCTATGACCTGACCCAAAAATGGCCGATGTATTAGTCTTTATTTGGACGTTCTTTCGATTCCCGCTTACCGCGTGTCGTCGCTACGTGGCCCAGGAGCCGAGTTAGAAGGGGGGGGGGGTGTTCAGACACCCCCTTCCCCCCGGCCCGGCGTGGAAGTCGTGGAGCACCGGCCCGGTGCGGGTTAACTCTTCCCTCTGTCCCCTCCACTCCCCGACAGCCGGCCAAGAAGACGGTGGAGATGTGTCGCCGGCCGTTCGGCGCCGCCGCCATCGACCTCTCGTCGGCCATGGCCAGCGCTGCCAGCGGGGATGAGGACGGCAAACACCGCTTCATGCCCATACTAACGTGAGTTGATGCTGGGTGTACCGCTGGATGTGGGGTTGTACGTCCTGACCTGTACCTGAAGCGTATAGTATATCCGACGCACGCGTTATTTCGAAGCGCTTGGCGTGCATCCGACGCTTACTTGTATCGTACAGCGTCAGATATTTGTCGGAAGTATCCGCGCAGTTCTTTTGGAAGTTAACTTTGTGTTATAAAATATCGACGTGCTGTCACGACTGAAAAGATGATTAATAATTGACCGATGGAAATGAATATTACACTTGCGCAAACAGATATTGATTTGTGGCCCTCTGAATACCATTGGTGGCTAAACTATGTCGCAGTTTTATTCACTGGAAGCGGGCGCTGCTTCTACAGTCTTGGCTGGAAGCCCCAAATTGGTCGTGCCCACCGCACTTCTTGCACAATGCACGTGATATAAGTGCGGTATAATGTCACGCTGTCCTGCTTTGAAATAGTTACCTTATTACTGTTTGTGAAATCCGGCTGGAATTTACGGCACAACAACTTCCTGAACTCTTCGAATTTTCGTTGGTCTTTAAATACCGTCGGTATGTAAGCAATACAATTATGATTTTGTAACATGAAATGACCTGAAACATACGCCATTAGTTCACCTCAATAACAGCACCCTTCTGACTATGACTGTTTGCGTGTCAGCACCTCTTTGGGTTTTGTTGTGTCTGGGTGGAGGGTGGTTAACAAGATGGGGAATATGGGCAGGAATAATGGCTAGCCTGTAGTGAGAGTCTTCATGTGCCCACTCATCCCCTGGCTTTCCCATTGTTGACCGTTTAATTATTACGTGCTTGGAGCCGACAACCTGTCACGTGACTTCTCTCCACACCTCTCTCCTCTCGGCAGGTGCGGCGACAAGGACAGTCTGGAGGACACGGCTCGCCGGCTGGTGCGCGACATCAGCGGGCGCGACTCCAAGGGACAGGGCCTCTGGGTGACCCTGCGGCTGCTGCACGGAGAAAAGGAACAGGTGGGTGACGACTGGCGAGAGCCGAGAGAGAACTGGTCGGGTCAGAGGACAGGGGGCGACTGCGACGTCCTGGAGGAATGAGTACCTATTGTTTGTCTTTGGATAAGTGGCTGTTGGCACCCGGGCAGGTCCATAGGTGTCTCGAGCAACTTTGGGCGTACCGGTAGGCTGAAGTCTGAAGGCGAGCAGTGGCGGGATAGCTACATCGGCAGGAGTGCTGGAAGATGGAAGTGAAATTGAATTAAGTTATATTGAGAGGAGATTTGAGGGAAGACAGGGATTGGATTTGGTAGGTAATATTGGATTGACTGAAGACGTGTTGTGAGTGCTGGGATTCAGATCTGTTGGTTCGCTTCTTCTCTAACACCTTTCATACGATCTGCTCCGATTACATACCTACTTCCCCTGCCGTTTTCAGCACCCTCACCTGGCCAAGATGGCGCTGGCCCGGCGTCTGGGGTTCCCGGATGTCATCCTGCCGACGGACGTACGGAACGACCTGTACCTGACCCTGCACAGCGGAGAGTTCACCCGCGGCAGCAAGGTCCAGGACCGGAACGTCGAGGTCACCGTCAAAGTCTGCAACCGAGACGGCTCCGTCCGACACGTGGGTAGAGTGGTTGGGGTGGGAAAGAGGGGTGATGAGGAATGAGGGAGGAGGTGGTCGCCTGGGGATCATCATGAGGACTCGTGGGGTAACCAAAGGAGATGCCTTGATAAGGGCATTATAAGAGCATCATTAGTTTGACCTTAACATATTCTAGAGCACTTTTAACGTCTGAATCTCTCATATTGCTTTGGTTCTTTCTAGGAATTCTGAGTGTATATTGCGGGCATATGTAAAAAGCTAATGAAACACTCAAGGGATTGAAACACTTGATGTTTTTGTTTGACAGTGTCTCTGTCGTGACCTGCCGCTCTAGCCCCGCTGCGGCCCTCTAACCATACCGTGATCTCGCTCAGGGTGTGATAGAGCGCGGCGCCGGCTGTCCTCCCGTGGAGGAGTACCGCTCGGTGGTCTACTGGCACGAGAGCCGGCCGCGCTGGGCCGAGACGCTGAAGGTGGTGCTGCCCATCGAGGGCGACTGCGACAGCCACGTCCGGTTCACCTTCAAACACAGGTGAGGGGTGACTGCGACAGCCACGTCCGGTTCACATTCAAACACAGGTAAGTGGGGACGGCAACAACCTTGTCCGGTTCACATTCAAACACAGGTGAGAGGGTACTGCGACATCCACGTCCGGTTCACATTTAAACACAGGTGTGAAGCCGCCTCGGATCTCTCCGGCGGGGTGATAGGTATTCTTTTTGTCAGTTGGTTTTCAAAAAGGTCATATCGTGATTGTTTTTAGTCCCTCTCAGCTGCCTCTGGGTTGCGATGGTTGCCTGAGTGATAAGTCGGCGCTGGAAGCTCCATCCTGGCCCTCGTTACCTGGTAAAGATTCAAAAAAATAATTATATCGTTCATAACGTTAGACAATCATCATCCTCTGCTTATTTCAGATCGAACAACGAGGTAAAAGACAAATCTGAGAAGCCGTTTGGTCTGGCGTACGTGAATCTTCTGCAGTCGGACTGTACCACGCTGCGGAACACGCGACATGAGCTTAATGTGTACAAGGTAAATACCAAGCTAATTACCAGTGAAAAAAGCTAGCCATGAGCAGAGCGTGACGTTGAATATGTACATATTAGGGAGTCACAGCTTTGTTTTGGCTGAAAGTCGGTCGATGTCCCTTCACTCACTGGTGGCTGCTTTACACATGAGATCATCAACAGATTATCAGACAATTCGTGTAACTCGCTGCTTTTAAACTGAAGTCGCTGCCGCTGCGTAACGTACCTTTCCCTTAACACCCACTAACCGTCTCCCAACCTCCTTCGCTCTCAGATCAACTCCAAGTCATACGAGGAGGGCGACACGTCGTACCTGAACCTACCGGCGCTGAAGTCGGACATACGGGACGGGCAGCCCCGGCCAGAGAGCGGCCCCTACCTGCTGAGTCTACGGGACTCGTTCAGCCTCGAGTCCATCACCTGTTCCACTAAACTGACGCAGGACGGTGGGTTGGGAGGAGAGTTGAGTGGATGAGGGGGTTGTGTGTGGGTGGGGCGGGAGGGGGATGGGTATGAAGGCTGGCTGGGAAGATATTTTTAAGTAGGTTGGGGTTACTTTCCTCACTGAATGTTGAGCCATCTCATGCAGTCCATATTTTTTTGTGCGGTTTTGGTGATAAAGAGCTTGTTGTAGGAAACGGAATCTGGTGTTCATACCATTTGTCTCTTCCTGGAGGCCGCCTCGTCCAGTTTCATCCATAACATAAAATTAATGCTTATGTGTCTGACTTACGACATCGATCATCCGTGATGGTCGGTCCGGGGAGCCACCTCATCCCATCTGACCCGAACTTCTTGAGGAACCCGTACCTCAGCCCACTTCTGACCCCCCCCCCCCTCCTCCAGTGGACCTGCTCGGTCTGCTCAAGTGGTCCTCGGACCCCGGCTCACTGAAGGAGCGGCTGGCGCGACTCGACCGCATCAGACAGGAGGAGCTGGTCAAGTTTCTGCGCGACAGTCTGGACGCGCTGTTCCACATTCTGATCCACTACGAGACTGACGATACGTATGATGTGGACGTCTTCAACGCTCTGGTTAGTGGCTGTTGATGACGACTGATGATGAGTCGTGGCCTTCATAGGGTGTCTTGGTAGTTTGGACTGTTAATTAATTATATTCGTGGCACTTATGTTAAAATACCAGTGAGTGGATCATTGCCATTGCCACCATTGTCATGAACGACAATATTCATGTCTCCGCTCCCTCTTTCTCTTTCTCTTCTCCTTCTCTCGCTCTCGGCCTCGTTTTGATCTCGGTCTCGGCTCTCGCTCGCTTTCTCTTTCCCTCACCACCCTCCCCACTCCTCCCCCATCACCAGGTGACCATCATTTCATCGGTGACCACCGAGCGTCGTTACCAGCACTTCCAACCGGTACTGGAGGCCTACCTGCAGAGCGCCTTCAGTGCTACCATCGTCGACAGGTGGGACGGAAATCGCTCGACGTTAGAGGGCTATCTCCTTCGCTGCCCGTTATCAGTCTTTGGACTTGCAGCTGGTTTAAATCATATTTGCGACGTAATGCTAGCTGTTGATTATATGATATAGCGATATGATATGAAATGTTAGTTGAAGCTTTGTGTATGGGCATTGGGGATCTGTTACTTTTTATCGCAGCAAATGTTTGATTGATGTTTGTTTTGTTGCTCGTATGTTCCTGGCATTGAGTTTTTAAGTTGACACTCGGTAGATGTTTTCCGTTGTAATTTTCTCAACCTGTCTGATCCCGCTGACCAACTGCCGACCATGGTCCTCAGGAAGCTGATGGGTGTGCTACAGACCTACATCGATAACGTCAGGGATCCCGAGAGCCGTCTGCACCTTCTGAAGGCGCTCAGCTGCCTTAGATACGTGTTCAAGTTTATCATCAAGTCGCGACAGCTCTACATCAAGTGAGTGACGTCCTATTTGTGTATGTCATACATGCTCTGCTTATGTTGCCTTGAAACACGATACAATATGATTAGCGATGACATGCTATGTTCATTGTTCATACGCGTGCTGAGCGGAAGAAAACATCAAAACAACATTACAAATTAAAATCACATCACTAATACGTATCCACCAGCGTTTGATCTAAGTAATCGATCAACACAGCTAAGTCGGCGATTAACCGCTCCCCCTCCTCTCCCCACCAGCCTTCTCACATCTCCCTCGTCACTCTCTCCCAGGATGAACGGCGGCCACGACGCGGCGTCGTTCGGCGGCACCACCCAACACCTGCTGCGCTCCTTCACCGGCCTGATGTTGGACCGGGACACGGAGCTGGAGAGCGTACAGGAGGCGATGCTGCAGCACCTGCCGTCTGCGGTCGACGACCTCACTGCTGTCTGTGATCCCGTTCAGCTCAGGTAGGGCACGGGGGGGGGGGGTTGGAAAGGATGTGGGTCAGAACTTAGAAGATGTGCTTGTGGCGTGGGACATTAATGAAGTTGCTGTGAGGAGAGGACAGAGGTAGAGTAGAGTCTATCTAGTTGACAAAAGTGTGGTATGAGAGGATGAGATGTATGACAAGGCGAGAAAGGAGATAATGATGATTTTCTCGAATAATATGCGATTTTTTCGTGCTCAACAAAGCTGTAGTTTGAATATCCCCCTAAAAAACTCAGTTATCCGGTTTGCCTTTAAAAATACAAGTTTGGTTTTCGTGACGGTTTTTCTTTGATTCCCTTCCCTGGAGGATTAATATTCGCAGAACACTTGAACGTTTCGACAACAATCCTTAACGCGCTCATACTAACCGTTCCCCACCCGTCTCCCACAGCGAGGCGATGGCCGAACTGGTGCGAACACTGGCCAATGGCAACCTTACCGAGCGGAAGCTGTCAGTCATCAGCCGCCTGGTCCACAGTCAGCTCTTCTCCAACCCGGATGGACGACACGTGCTTCTGCCGGAGGTGGTGGCGGCTGTGGGACTGATGTTTGACCTGCAGCAGCAGAACGTGAGTGATAGCGGAGGGTTTGGGTGAGGTTGGTGGTGGGTCAAGTGTGGTTGGTGGTGGGATATGTTCTGACGGCAGTGAGATGCGGTACGAGTGGCGGTACGGGTTAGTGGTGGCGGTACGGTCTCTTCTCGTGGATGCTGTCCCGATTTTCTCAGTTTTTGATGCACACTGTGTGGTCTGTTGGTGACCGGTGTTCGCTTTTGCGCCTTCACGGACTTGTGGTTGGTTTTGTTCTGTTCATCCCCGGCTTGTGTGTCTGTTTTGTTTGTTGGCCCGGATCCCTCTGGTGGCGGCGGTGACCCTGCCTTGCGGGCGGCTCTCACATTGCTCACACCTCACTCACTCGCATGCTCACTGGATGCCGGTTATGTCTGGGCTCACTTATTTATTTAACCCCCACTGAAATGGTCTTTCTGAATTTTTACTATGTTCAGCTGTCACGAGAACATTATTGCTATTCTTGATGAATTCTTAACCTAGGTTTATACAAATTATCGTGCAGCTGGGCTCATTTATCCTTACGCATTAAGAAGGCTCGGTCACCCCGAACGATTCAGCTCAGTTTTCTGTGCTTTATGGCCCACTACCCCCTCCCTATCTCGGTTCGTGTAATCTCTGGGCCTGGGTCCGACCTGACATAGCCGGCTCCAGTGGCACGCGCAGAGCTGCATTCAGCGATTTAGTTTAAACCGCGCTATCCTCAGACCATGTGTGTCCGTATTCCGACAGCTCATACGCTCCCCGGGAACCGCAGTAACCATTGGCAGCGCCGATAACCACTGAGCATTGTCAGTAGCCGCTCGTAACCGTCGCAGCCACCGCGCTAGGTAACCTAGGTGATAGTTAATAACCCTTAGCAGCTGGCCCTTATTCCCTAGCAGCCTATGGTCTTTGGTGAGTCGCTGATAACCCTAGAAACCTACCCTACCCTGGCCTCGGTAACCACCCGCAACCCCCGGTAACCACGGTAACCGTCGGTAACCATGGGGCGCAGGGCGCCGGAGGCATGGCTACCCTGCGCCAGCGGAACAAGCGGAGTCAAAAGCTGGCCCAGATGCTGGGCGAACAGCGCACGGACGCGATCGGACTGGACAAGGCGCGTGACGAGCTGCAGCGCAGTCGGGACGAGGTACTGACGCACCTCACACCCTCCCTCCGCCTCCCGCACGCCGCCCGCCGCCCCTCTACCCAGCGCAGCATTCACCCGCTTCCCTCGCTTAGTATGCTGCAGTGCGTTCTGATGATATGTCTGAAGTGCAGATGCGTGTAGTCCAGCCAGCGCTTGCGTTTGGAAGATAATCGCTTCATGTTACGGCTTTTCTTCAAACTGGTTACCAGCATGCGCTACATTGCTGCATGGATAATCGCCTTGATGATCTGGGAGGGGAATATTTTCAGGTCATCATGCTGGCGACATCCCTGTCGAGGAGTCCATCGGCCGACGTCGATTGAAGGTGGATAGATTTGCCTGTCCAGTAGCTCAGTTGGTAGAGCATTGGACTCCCGGTAGTGAGAGCTCGGGTTCGAGACGCTCCTGCGCTCGATATTTGAGACCCTCCTGACGGGGATGGTCTGCGGTTGGTGGGAGCAGCCGCAGCCAGTTGAAGTCAGTTGAGTGGGACAGACCGTGTCCGGCTTTGAAGGGCACATTAAACTTTGGCATCTAAATTCTCCCGATACCCGGAATTGCGCGATCGGACGGTAGGGGTCGGGGTCTGCGCAACAAGCTCTGCTTAGCGTGGGCTCCGGCTCTGTCAATCCGTCCATTCAAACATTCGAGCTAAAATTAAAAAAAAAAAATAGATGCTGCTAACTGCGTTAGGATGGCTTGCTACCCGTGAGGATTATGTCTGAACTTTCTCTGCAGACAATATAGTGCGGGTGATTCGGCAGTGTAATTCTATGTAGTGCAGATTCATCGAAAGTTTGGCTGGAATCGTTCGTCATTATTCGTGCATTCACTTGTCCATCTTAAGCAGTTGCATGAAATTCTGACTTTTTAGTCAAGCTCATTAGTTTGTGTTTTGTTTTGTGTGTATAGTATTTAAGCTTGGAACAAACCAAATGTTTTTTATGGATTACCGCACCCTGGGCCCAATCTCATCACATCTGAATATACATATTCATTGCATCTGAATATACGTTGCTGGACCTACATTTGCCATTTATCTAGTTTTGAACCAAGGTGTAGTCATGCAGCTTAAATAGGAGGGAAAAAAATCGGAAGCTCATACGATTCATCAGGCTGTAAAGCCAATCGCTTTGCTGTTTATTTTCTCAATACATATTTTGCCTTGCATTTGGATCCTCGACTGGATCCGTTTATGATTAGTTTTTTCATGTTCCTATTTGGTAGCCTACCGTATATATATGTATATCTTATTTAAGTTTATATATAAGCGGCATGTAGATTTAGTGCATGCTGTGCTTATTGCATGCATCTCAATGCCCATGTCAGTTGTTCCTATCAGTAATTCTTTATCACACAATTTTGAGCCAATCATGCCCGGTTATTATACCCTTGTTTTGTGAACATACTGAGCATGCTTGAAACTAAAAAAAATGTTTGTATTCTGATTCACTCAGTTTATTGTACCCACAATTCGCTTTTATTCGCTTTCAAAATATTTACTTCCCTCTTGCACGTATTTTTTAATTGCCATCTCGTCACTATCCACTGCTCGTTTGCAGCTCATCTTCCACCTAGCAAACCTAATCAACCCTGTCTTTCTTGGATGCGGTGCAACAAGGTCACATTCACTACCCCCACACACGGCCGCCGCTCAAGTCTTCCCCCCCCCCCCCCTCCACGGCTCCCGTCTCTTCTATCCGTCACTCACTCGCCCTCACTTGGCCCCCTCCCCCCCCCGGCATCTGCAGCCCTGTATTGGTACCCTATCGAACCCCCACTCAACTCTCCTCTACTCATCATCTCCTTCCCCGTCATTTATAGCTGCGGTCTAATGTCTCCTCCACTTCTCCGGCGCTCACCTCCCCTCCCCCTCTCCAGCTCCAGCTCTGTATCGGCGTCCTGTCGACCCCCACTCACACCCTCTCCCATCGCTCACCTCCCTCCCCCCCCCCCCCCCAGCTCCAGCTGTGTATCGGCATCCTGTCGGACGTACTGGACGTGCTCTGGCGCCAGCACGGCCAGCGCGGCGGCACGTCCATCGACGTCGGCGTGGTCACCCAGCACCTGCTGCGGAAGGTGCTGCAGACGGTCGTCAGCGTCGATCGCGAGGACACTCTGGTGGTGAGAGACCTGGGGACAGGGGAAGGACAGGGTGTTGAGGGCGAGATGCTGGTGTTGATAGCCTCGGTTGGTGTTACCAGACGGCGGATGCATAATAAGGCATATTATTGTTTATTTTAACGGCAGTATAAGCAATCGCTCGTTTTATGATGGTGGAGACAGGTTAACATAGTTTTATGCTAATTGAAATTGCTACGATCACCTCTTGATGTGCCAGAGAGACGTATCGTCGCGACTCGTGATAGAATCAACCAATAACGATCGAGTGTCGTTCTTCCAGGTCCGCTCTAATCCCACTTCCCCCTGTATTTCTCCAGTGCGGTCTGGTGGCGATTCTGATCTCGATGCTACGTCAGATGGAGAGGCACCACTACGACCAGTACATGTCGGGCTTCACCGACGTGACCGACCAGCTCGCCTTCATCACCGAGATCCTGATGGTGTTCAAGGACCTGGTGTCCAAGTGTGTCTACCCGCCGCTCTGGTGCGAGATGATCATGCTGCAGAACAGGTGAGAGAAGTGACATGTCTAGCGAAAGTGGTGAAAGCGGTAGTGGCGTGTGTAGTGAAGGTATGGAAAGTAGACCTAATTGTTGAAGGGTGTGGCGTTTTCAGCGTGATTCCAGGCACATAAGATTTTCTTTAAGTCTGCTGTTTTGATCTCATAACCGGGCCCGGGCGAATTAATTCTTAGCGTTGGTTTCTGGAATTAATGGCGAATCACCAACGCCGCGTTTTGACATTTGACGGCTGCTTTTGTTGTGCAGCGTGATTCTGAAGTCGCTGCGTCTGTTCTCTTATACGATCCGTGACCGGTTCCTGGAGCCCTACGAACACCAGATCTGGAACAACTTCTTCCATTGCGCCATCTCGTTCCTAACGCAGGTCAGTGTGTGGTGTGGGACAGCGGAATGGTTCGGTTATTGTCAGCTAAGGATTTTTGTTAACGTGGGGCTGTGGGAAATGTTCCCTCAAAGCATCAAAGCACAACTATTTTTAACGTTCGTGTGGTGCACGCAACCACTGACTTTCTGTGAATGAAGTGTTCAAAGCTGAATCTTTGTTTTTTCGAGCTGCTCGACGACTTTGCTGCCTTATGTGGAAGCCCTTTCCGCATCTGACTCACCCGCGCTCGCGTCTGCACGCACAGAGTCCGCTGCAGCTGGAGACGTTCTCCGCCAGCAAGCGGTCCCGCCTGCTGGCGCGCTACAAGGACATGAGGAAGGCCACTGCAGAGGAGATCCGCACCATGTGGATCAGGCTAGGTGGGCGCGGTGTCCCGGTCACCGATCGCCCTGTGGTTAGCGCTCTGTTGAGGTTACCGAGAATAAGAGGCTTCATGTTTCGATTGTTGGGTTCGAAATGGTGAAAAAGGGACGGGCTTGCCGTTGACTTGATTTGTAACGCTTACTTCGTGCTATCATACATTTCACCTCAGCTGCTGCTGCTATTTACATAAGCCAATACCTTTTACCGCAAATATTCATGAATGGCGACGGCAATGGAGGCGATCAGAGGAATGTTCGCCACCTTCCTCCACGGCCCTAACCAGCTGCACACGCCGGCCCTGTCCCGCCCTCAGGCCAGCACAAGATCGCCTTCGTGCCGGCACTGGTGGGTCCGTTTCTGGAGATGACATTGGTGCCAGACCCAGAGCTGCGGGGGATGACCATCCCACTCTTCTTCGACATGATGCAGTGCGAGTTTTACTCGCCCATCAAGCCTGGGTCGCAGTACAATGACACCAAACGACAGGCCAGCGCCAGCAAATGTAACTTCAATGAGGTAAGGCGCGGGGGAAAGAGAGGAGGATGTCTGGGTGTGGTTTGGATGAAGAAGATTTTAGGAGCGCTGAATGCGAATGGTCACAACTGCTGTGGTGGGGGGAGGGATATTGCAAATGTGAGGCGGGCGTCCGATGGTGTGTAACAATGGGAAATGATATTTGTGAAGCCCAACCCTCTCTTCACGTAGCAATGCTCAGATTTTGACACCCGGCTCTCCTTTCTCCCTGCACATCAGTTTGAGCACGAGATGATCAACAAGGTGGACCACCTGATCGACGGCGGCCGCGGCGACGACTTCTACCGCGAGCTCTTCCGCGAGAAGATGCTGGAACTGTGTGAGAAGCACAGCTCGATGCGCGAACAGGGCGTCCGCTTCGTTGCCACGGTGACCGACCTGATGAAGCGACTGCTGGAGTACCGCGCCATCATGCGGGACGAGAATCAGGAGAACAAGATGAGCTGCACGGTCAACCTGCTGGTGAGTTTTTTTTCTTACGTCATGGGAGGAAGGAGATAATTAGAGAAAGAAGTCGGTGAATAGACCATGGTGAGTGGGTTTGAGTTAGGAGAAATAGTCGGGCTGAGATCATGTAGAAGCCGTTTAGATAGGTGAATGTGTAAGGATGACCATAAAACTACGTGTTCTGAACATTCAGTACTAGCAGTATGCTGTAGCTCTGCTAGGAATGTGTTCTTGGAACTCTGTGTCGGCATGTAGGTACGAGTAAGTAGCGTCTTTAAGATGGAAGGAGCAGCCACCCAGTGGTGCTTGTCGTCTTAATTGTCTGACTTTGCTTAGCTTATGTGAATTTAGTATGCCTACGGCGCTGCCTGACATCGGTCACCTCCCGTTTCCCCGCGCAGCACTTCTACTACGAGATCCACTGCCAGGAGATGTACATCCGCTACCTGTACAAGCTGCGCGACCTGCACGTGGCCGCCAACAACTACATTGAGGCCGGCTTCACGCTGAAGCTGCACGCCGACCAGCTGCAGTGGTCGGACGAACAGCTGCCGGCAGTGCTCCGTCACCGCAGTGACTTTGGACCGCTGGAGACGCACAGAGCCATGAAGGAGGCGCTCTATAACAAAATCATCGACTACTTCGACAGGGGAAACGTGAGAGCCAGGCGTGACAATTATCCGTCTTATACAGTAATTAAGTTTTTTATGTTTTCTTAGATTCAGTGAAGAAGTGTTTAAGTCAATGTGTAAATACGAAATTCTACGTCAAATGATATGCGTGTTGCGTATAGAACATTCATATGTAAAAATATCATATATGATGTCAAAAATGCGACCATCACTTATTTGCCGCGTCCCGCTGACCTCTGTGACCCGTCCCCCTATCCAGCTGTGGGAGGCGGCGCTGCAGCTCTGTAAGGAGCTCTCCGGCCAGTACGAGGAGGCCACCTTCGACTACCACCAGCTCAGTCAGCTGCTACAGCGCATGTCGCGCCTCTACGACAAAATCCTGCAGGAGATTCGGCCCGTGCCTGCCTACTTCAGAGTGGCGTTCTATGGACGTGGCTTCCCGGCATTCCTCCAGAACAAGGTGAGTCTTGGGAGCATGGCGCTGTCTCTTCTACAGGGCACCGCCGTGTGTCGGTTAGATATTACTCCGAATATGTTGCGAATATGCTGAGTGTGAAAATCGGTAACCGTGTCTGGAAATAGGTGTGGGTGGTATAATGGAAATTAAATTTGTTGATCGCTCAGTAATAAATCAGCAAATTGCTGTCGTAAGACGAAAAATACCGAGAATTCGCCTTTACTTATTTCGGAAACATGAAAACTCAAACTTAACAAACACGTTGAAATATCGCTGGAGGATTACATGTACCACCATTGTGTGTGTGGTAGTTACGATCTGACGCCTTGCTGCCCACACACAGGTGTACGTGTACCGTGGTCGCGGCTACGAGCGTCTGGCCGAGTTCAGCAGCCGCATCCAGGACACGTTCCCCAAGGCCGAGCTGATGGACACTCTGGAGACGCCCGGTCCGGAGGTCACAGAGTCACTGCAGCAGCGTATCCTTTGACAGGCGGCCGCACGGGAGAGCAGGGGAAGGGTGACAGGATGGAGTTCGCGGTTGATATCGGGGATGAGAATCGGCGAGGGTGAGAGTTTATGTAGTGCAGTGTGTGAAGTTCGAATACCCTCTCCTTTGCGTTGGAATTCCTTGACGATGAACCTATCGGGCCTCAGTCCTGCAAGTGAACAGCGTTGACCCTGACATGGAGGACAACAAGCGCTTCTCGGGAAAGCCCGTCACTGAGAAGATAGTCCAGTACTACCGGGTACGTCAAACACTGGCCCCCGAATGTTCAGCCCTGTTAGTCCTTTTTACGATAGCATGATCTCTTCAGCATGGTTGTTTTGTTTTGTTGATCATTCAAGAAACACTTTGTAACTTTTGTGGTCTTTCCCGCATTTATTTTCACGCTTAGCCGTCCATATTTCCAAAATTGAATGGAAATTCGAGTTACTACTTCATTATAACCGTTTGCCATCCGTGAATTTATGTGTGTCATGTGCTCATTTGAAACATCATATAGGTTGACCCAGTACAAGTCTCCACTCGCACATCACCACCCCTGCTCCCACAGGTGAACGACATCGACCGGTTCGTGTACTCTCGTCGCAGCCAGCGCGGCGCCAAGGACCCCGACAACCCGTTCGCCAGCATGTGGCTCCAGCGGACTGTCATGAGAACCTCCTCCAAACTGCCAGGTCTGTGTACATTGTTGTAGAGCTGCAGGTATCCATCGCATAACGTGCATAGCTGCTGTTACTAAGTGTGGTTACTTGTGATAACTGAAGAAAACCTGATGCCCCTTGATCAATTTGCCGACTGACCCCCGGCTCCCACCCCGCAGGGATCCTGGCCTGGTTCCCGGTGACGGCCACCGAGACGTACGACGTGACGCCTCTGGAGCACGCCATCGAGACGATGACGACCAAGAACCGCCAGCTGCGCGAGCTGATTCTGTCCAACCGGAGCGACGCAGCACTGCCGCTCAACCCGCTGACACAGACGCTGACTGGTATCATCAACCCGGCGGTCATGGGCGGCACCGCCAACTATCAGGTGAGGGGGACTGTACTCTGTTAGAGCGTTATACACAGACGCTGACTGGCATCATCAACCCGGCGGTGATGGGAGGCACCGCCAACTATTAGGTTAGAATGGAGACTGCATCTAGCGTCATTCTTAGGGATCGTTGGGTAATACACAGGCAATGAAAAAAAAAAGAAATATAATTGTAGTGAATACTTCCCTCTGGTTCAATTATTTATCCGCAGGGCAGTCCGAGGATTCTCGATAGTTGTGATTTTTTTTTGGGGGGGGGGGGATGCGACAGACCAATCACTCGCGTGATAAATGCTTTCATTTTCTTCTTTCTATATTTTCTTTTCCTTCTCGTTTCTTTCTATGCAGTATCAAGGCCATATGCAGTATCAAATTTGATTGTCTTTCCTCGCTGAGTCTTTTTTTTTGTAATTTGATGATTTTCGCTACCGCTCGATCCTACGCCTATGCACCAGCTGATGTCTCACCGCCCACGTTCCATCTCCCCCGCAGACGTTTTTCACGCCGGAGTACGTGGAGAGGAACCCGGACGACGCCACACTGGTGGCCAAGCTGAAGGTGCTCATCGCTAAGCAGATTCCGCTGCTCGAGGCAGGACTGGAGGTGAGAGAGGTGGAGGGGTGAGAGAATGATGGAAGGGTGAGAGGGAAGGAGCGAGTTGCGGAGGGATGGTGGTGAGAAGGAGGATAAGTGGGAAGGAGGGGTGCATGAGGGTTGAATGTGCTATTTTCTCAGGATTTGTAGTAACTATGTCATATGGTATGTAGGTGCAACAGCATACGTTCATTGCTGGATATTGTTAAACGCCACACTCTGTTGTTTGCAGACACACGGCCAGCGGGCGCCGGACAACCTGAAGCCGCTACAGACCATGCTGGAGGGCATCTTTGACGACATGAGGACAGAGGTGCAGGATAAATTCGGCGTTCAGGTGAGCAGGCTGGTGCTATGAACTCTTATCGGCGACTTAAAGTTGATATTTTGTCTTCTTCTTTTGTTCTGGATTTTCGTTTTTTTTTTTTTTTTTTTTTGCTTAACGCCCTTATGAATATGATGTATTGAGATTCTGCTGTTGAATATTTCCCTTTAAGTCAGTAAAAAACAGTTATGCTTCCATGTTTTGGGCTCGTTTTAGCTATCTACGAAATTTAATCAACATTTTATATCTAAAACATGTGAATGTATGACCAGATTATCAAAAGCATTTTTTTACCATCATTCCCCTGTACGACTGCTTGCGATTATATCCTCTACATGTCCATATTTCAGGAGTGTGACCTGCCGTACCAGCGGCCGGTGGTGGCTCTGCGGCACCACCGTCCGTCTCTGGCCGGCTGGGAGCGGCAGGACTCCAGTCTGTCCGAGTCAGTACACACCAGCGCGGCCAACGCGAGTGCCAGGTGCCTGTCCGCTACTGCTTATTACACGGGCCTCCCTTCTGTCCCTCACGTCTTCCACAGCAGCCTACCCGTGTGTTCCCGCCTCGGGAGTGTTGCGTCGGATGGTCTGTTGTTTTAGAGAAAAATTATGGATGGTGGCCGCGTTATTTTTTTGACTCGCTAGTTTTTGTGTTTACCTACGAGGACTGAGGAGCTTTATGTTTTCGTGTTTGTGCTTCCCCTCCCGCTCCCTTGGTTCTTGGGCTATGCGTGCAGAGCATTTGCATCATTGCTTTTCATGGTTACGTTGATAGTATTGTTGAATGTATAAAAAAGATGCGTTAAATGATAATATGAATAATTTAATGATTCAATGTTTTTTTTTCAAAGACTGCTTTAGCGCTCAGTTATTTACACAATGATCAATGACCAGCTTGCTTCATCACTGATCTTGCTAGCTGTTGCTTTTCACGGTGCATTTGCCGGCACCGAATATACCTTTGTGGTGTTATATTAATGATGTCTGCTTACCGCCGGCAGCCTCTCCTCGACGACGCTGACCAGTCCTCAGAACGGCACGGCGCCGTTCCTGTCGCTGATGAACCTCTCCCAGAGCTTCAGCAGCGGCGGCACGCTCAAGTAAGTCGACTACTGAGTCTGATGGAGATACTTCAACTTAATCAGTGATGGTCTTCGTGAAGTGAATATTGTCTGCCTCGGAGTCTGCTGTAGGGCTCATGGTGCTGGCGATCTCCTTACAGCCTAAAGTGTAGGGTCACCACTGGCCCTGACGTCTGCCGGCAGTGTTTCCTAGGTTTAGGCGTATGTCTCTTCCCGGGTCTCATTTAGGTTTCCTGATGTAATGTCAGCGCTTGAAATCTCCTTTTTCCGTCTGATGGCCCAGTCCAGCCAATATGTCGAGCTCTATTTGGTCCGATTGAGTTTGGTCTGGTCCACTGCATTTCGGTCCGATTTTTGCCCTGTGGTCTGTAATTGTCCGATTGTTACACCCTGTAGATAGGCAAGTTGCACATTTCAATCATGTATTAATGTATTGAATGCTGGGCACACATCTGAAACAGAGACACACAGGTATATCAGCGTTATGCCCGTCTATCTCCCCCAAAGTCTTTGGGAGCCTGACGGACAAAGACTCACAATCTACAAACTAGTAACAATATGCACTGCTGACGTTACTGACAACTCGCTCGTAGCTACCGAACGAAGGTGACGGGAATCGAAAGGCGAAGCCGCGAAGAGCAACGCGAGAGCGGACGCGGATACGGTTGATGCGCGTCGCTGAGATAGTACCGGCGGATCACTGCATAAAGTCAGGGTCACGGTATTTCGCGGGTTTGGGTGCTCGTCGCCGGCCGCTGCGACGCGGAGCTTGAGGCTCCGGGGACGATACAGGCGCAGGTGGGATATCAAGCATCGGTGGTTGCTGTGAGGGCGGGCTGTCGGACACCTCCCGCATCGGCGGTCGAGCGCGCTGCTGGTTTTGCGGGGACGCGGGGGAACGCGATGAGGTGCGAGGTGTGCGCACTGGGGCCGGAGACGGAGACTGCGTCGGTGATGAAGGCGTCGGCTCCATCTGAGGGGCGGCCGTCGGCCGCACGGGTGACTCCACCCGCGGAACCAGTGTCGGCGACGAGGGCGTCGTTGCCGTCCGGGGGGCATCAGGCAGCCGCGCAGGGGGTAGCTGACTTCGTTGTAGGCTGTCAAGTAGATCATCGAGACGAGCGCCGCGGCTGGGGATGACGGGGCTGTATCTCCGGAGAAACTGGCGGTTTCGCAGAGTGACCCGACCGCTCCCGTCGACACGCACGACGTACTGGTTGTGTTGACCGACCTCGATGATGCGCCCTGTTTTATCCCACTTTTTGGGATCTCGTCCAGTCTGGTTCTGTAAGCGAACTGTGTCGCCGACCTTGAGAGGAGGGAGCCGTTTGGTGTGTTCAGACCAGCGCTCGTGTGAGCGCATGTGCCGATTCCTCAGGGCCTCTTCGCGGGCGAGTAGAGTCTCTCTCCAGGTAGGATGAGGAAGGTACTGGCCTGGGTGGATGCGGATGAAATCTCGCACCGGGCGCCCGAACACGCATTGTGCCGGCGATAGTTTAGTGGAAGGATCGGGGGCGTTGCGGTACGTTAGTATCGCCCGTTGGAACTTATCCACGTCCAGCTCGCCGCTGTTGCCGGTGTTGCCCACAATGAGGCGTTTAATCGTCTTCACTCCGACTTCGGCCCGACAGTTGGCGTGAGGAAATGCCACAGAGGATAGTCGATGACGCACTCCCCAGGCTTCCAGGAAAGCCTCAGTCTCCTTTGCCGTGAATTCAGGGCCGCCGTCACTGGTGAGTTCGTCGGCGATGCCGAAGGTGGAGAACGTCCGTCGGAGACAGGCGATAAGTCCCTTGCTGCCGCCGCTCGCTCTCTCGACGACAGGCCAGCCAGAGTACCGGTCGACGACGACGAGATACGTTTGCCCCATGTATGTGAAGAAGTCAGCGCACACTTGCTGGAAGGGATATTCCGGCGGGTGAATGTCTTCCGGGGGTGCGCACGGTTGCGAAGGGGCGTTGCGGTTGCACGGTCCACATCGGTCCCGCATGGAACGGATGTCCGCCGTGATGCCTGGCCAGTAGACGCTCACGGCTGCTCGGGCCAGCATCATTCCCACACCTTGATGGGCGCTGTGCAGACTTGACAGCACCTCTCCCCGCAAGCAGGGCGGGACGATGACCCTCTGGTCGTATAAGACCACACCGTCGCTGGTGTATAGACCATCTCGAATGGCGTGGAAGGCACGGATAGCCTCTGGCATGTCCTTGCGTTGTGGTGGCACGCTGCCATCTTCGATCATCTCAAGCAGTTGATGCATCGCGGGATCGCTGGCGGTCGCTTCTCGGATGCGATCCCAGGTGATGGAGCGGAGTGTGGATACTGCTGCGACGGCGATGCTGCCGGACTCGTCGACAGTGGTGTCGTCGCGGAGGGCGAGACCGATTGCGTCTCCGGCGGGGTAACGGGATGTTGCGTCAGGAACGCGGTTCTTGACCCCGGGCACGTACCGAACTGTGAACTTGAAGCGGAGTGTTTTTTCCTTCAGGTTGCGTAGACGGGCGTTCGGCATATCAGCCAGCGACCGGTCGCCGAGGACCTTCAGCAGTGGCTTATGGTCAACCACGATGGTGAGATTGGTGCATCCCAGTACGAAGAATCGCGTCTTTTCAAGCGCGTCAGCGACGGCGAGTGCTTCGCCCTCGATTGGGGCGTACCGGGATTCGGCACCTGTCGTGAACCGGCTCCCCACCATGGTCGTCTTCCATCCTGTGGCGCAACACATGGGCGACTGGCTGTCACACGCACAGTGCTTTTGCAGGAGCCAGAAGCCGACACCTGTGCGGGACCAATCGGTAGCCAGGACAGTGGGCCTGTGCTTGTCAAAAATTTGCACTCCTGCGTTGACTTCCTGGATGATGATGCGTTTTGAGTCTTCGAACAGTTGCTCTTGCTTCTCCGTCCATTCGAACTTGCCCGGTTTGAGCAGCTCGCGGAATGGTAGCATCACGTCAGCCATGGCGAAGGCGTACGACACGTGATTCACCACCCCGAACCAGGCTCGCACATCAGTCAGGTTCTTCGGGGTAGGGAACTCGGCGATGCTCCTGAGGAACTCGCGGCAGGGTCGGACTGCCTCGGGGGAGATCTCAAAGCCGGCAAATTCCACGGTCTGCCGAGCGAATGTGAACTTGTCGGCGTTCAAGGTGATGCCATGTCTCCCGCACATGTCGAGCCACTCCACCGTGCGCCAGAAGGTTTCGGTGATGCTGTCACCCCAGATCAGGGTGTCGTCCACGCACTTGGTGTATGAACCATGTGACAGGCCGGTGGACACGATGATTTCGTCGTAGCGTCTGGTGTAGCCGTCCCCGCTTGAGATGTAACCTTGGGGGGCCACCCGGTAGCGATATCGGCCCCATGGGGTGAGGAATGTCGTAAGATGCCTGTCGTCTGGGTGTAGGGGGACGCTGTGATAGCCGTTCCAGGCGTCCAGTGCGGTCTTGTAGGTGTTGCTTGGAACAGAGCGTGCTTGATGAAACGGGCTCGCCGTGTGATGCGTTTCCCTCACGGCGTGTCGGTTTAGTGGCTGGAGGTCCACGCATCGTCGTGGTTTGCCGTTTTTCTTGGAGACCACCACCATTCGGTGACACCAGGTTACTGGGTCGCCCACAGGTACCGGTTCGATCACCCCAAGCTGCACATCTTTGTCGAGGGCTTCTTTGACTTCAGTCTGCCAGTGCAAAGGCACAGGGATGGCCTTGTGACACGCCACCGGGTCGGCGTCTTTGTCGATCATGAGGCGTAGAGGCGGACCGTCCATCTTCGTGAGGGGTTGGTGTTCACACGTGTTGAACGTACTCGATGAGTAATAGTTCACCAACCACTTCCGCAGGTTTTCGGTGTTCTCCTCGGTGGCCGCCATGGGGAGCTCGGTGGGCATGGGAGGTGGCGGTTGGCGGGTTGGACATGAGCATGGTTGGTGGTCGGTGGGAGGAACATCATCGGCCAGCATAGAAACCAGTCCAATGGACGGGAACGCGGAGTCGATGATGCCGAGGTCGCGGCAGGCGTCACGGCTCAGGTAGACGGCCGTTGTCGACGGCGTGATATACACAAATTGACGTGTCTCACGACGGAGCCCATGACTTTGCCCGGAGATTCGCAGGATGATAGCTCCTCGGAGGTCGATGGGGTTTCCGTTCGCGGCGCGCATCCGCATGGAGGTGGGGACGAGCTCGTCTTCCGTGATTCCCAGCCGGCGCAACAGGTTTGTGCCTGCTAGACAACTCTGGCAGCCGGTGTCTGCGATGACATGCTGCGTGATCGTGGTTGTCCGATTGGGGTGCTCCAAACCAAGACTGCTGTAGTCGGTAGGGTCGACCGACAGCTCCAGGTCGACGGTTGGTTGTGGTTGGCTGGTCTGTCGACACCAGCGCTGTGACTCGTCGAACATGTGATGCGCGAGGGTTGCAGAACACGAGGCCGCATCTGTGTGAGTTGAGTCAGTATTTGGAGTGACGGTGTGATCGGTGATGCCGCACAGGGCGCCGAAATCATCGTCTTCATGCCTCGTGACAGCGCTGTCCCCAGTGACTGCGGCAGTCTTCTGTTGTCGGCAAACCTCCGTGAAGTGACCGCGACGGCGACAGTTACGGCACTGATGCTTGAAAGCGGGGCAGGAGGTGGCACTTACGCTGTGTGGCGCTTTCGCCCCGTGTCCCTCTAGGCCACAGTACTGACAGGCACCGGCATGGGTCGCCACATGGGGTCGCCTTTGATCCGGAGGTGCAGGTGTGTTCTTGGCGCGGCGGTACTGACTGCGGGCGGCAGCCATCCCTTGTGACTGGAGAAGACGCTGAGCTGAACGTTTACCGGCCTCTTTGGCTTCGATAAAGCTGATAGTCTCCTCCAGTGACATACGCTGGTTCTGATTTCCCAGCAGCTCCAGCTGGATGTCGCTGTCGTTGATGCCGCGCGCAATGATGTCGCGGATAACCTCGTCTTGGTATGATATGTCCTTACCGCAGGCGCTGTTGGGACACTGGATCGTGAAGTGGCACACCGCAGCCTGGCCTCGCAGACGGGCGGCGAAGGTTCGAATGGATTCATCGGTGTCTTGGGTCATGTTTTGCAGCGCGACACGTGCAACCATAGTGTTCTCCTCGCGAACCGCCAAGCGGCGCATGGCTGCCAAGACATCTTTCTCGGGTTTCGTCGCTAGGCTGCCCCCAGACGCCCTGGTCAGGTCGCGGCGTAGGGCTTCATCGCAGCATTCCAGTAGTTGTAGAACGCAGTCGGAACCGGTGAGATGGACAGCTTCCTTGTAGTCAGTCCATCTGCTGAGGAAGTAAGTCCACTCTTCGCTGGAGCCCGCGGCAGACACCTGTGGCCGGCGGACTTTGTCGGCCGTGAAGGAGACGGAGGGCCGCGCGTGTGAGGCGGCCTCGTGCATTCTCAGCAGCTGAACCACGACATTGGCGTCAGTGTCTTCGGCGATGCTGTATGAGCAGTCCTCGAAGGGGCATCTGGTGGCCGACATCCTGAAGTTCGTCAGTGTTGATGCTCTCTTTAAGAGTTACTCTTGTAACGTGTAATGATATGTGTGCCCAGCATAGATAGGCAAGTTGCACATTTCAATCATGTATTAATGTATTGAATGCTGGGCACACATCTGAAACAGAGACACACAGGTATATCAGCGTTATGCCCGTCTACCCTGCTCCTGCTGACAAATATTCTTATGCTAACTCATCACACCATATTTCTTTTTGCAACGTCGCCAGGTCCCGCCGGCAGTCGCAGTCTCCTCGGCGACCTCCTCCGCCCCCGCCCCCGCCTCCTCCGCCCCCGCCGCTGCCGCCCAAACTTCCCCCGCGGACGGCCAGTCGGTTCTACGTAGCTGCACCTACCTCAGATGCTACCTCTGATGCTACCTGACCCAACCTAGTTCGTTGTTCCTAAATGAATATTGCTATTTATCAATTGTCATCCCCATTCTTTGTTTGCATGCTGCTTTTTTTTGTACCGCGAAGGCAGTAAACAGCTCACACCGACACCATTGACATTATTATTTGAAGCGTTACTGTTTCTTTCTGGTTTGCTTTGAGCTGGACCGTTGGTACTTGTTTTGATTTAATAGCTACGTTTTAATTGTGTTTTTTTTTTATGCGCATACGATTATTTTTAAAGAATGCGTTGTAATTGATATATTTCCCTCTGTCATTCTTTTTCATGTGTGATGTAAACTGATCTGATTTCTGTGTTATTTTGCCTTTTATCATGCATTATTGTTTCGTTACCTGGTGCCCGTGTTGTGTTCAGTTCGCCTGTCTCACACCACCCTCACCCCGCCCCTCTGCCCACTCCCCCCTCTCCCCGTCAGATCCCAGAAATCCGCCACGTCCCTACCCCGCTCCAAGACCATTTTCTACAGCCAAGCCAGCAACCTGTCGGCGGCGGGCGCCGTGGCGTCGACGCCGGTGCGCAGTCGAGACCGACGCGACCAGAAGCGGGGCAGTATCACGTCGCAGACCTCAGAGTCCACCATCATACTGTCGGAGGAGGTGGGTGATGCCGGGCGAAGGGGAGGGGAAGGGAGGAGAGGGTTTTTGGGAAGGGAGAGGGGTGGGCGTGGTCCTTGCAGTTGGGGGAGGGAGGCTGCAGTCAAGGTTTTTGGGACGTGTGGGTGACTTGGTGTTGGTAACATCGGCTGATTATATCGAGTGACATGATGTGGTATGCCGTTTGTTGCGGTCAAAGGATTACATGGTATCAGTTGCCTCATTTTAGTCGGCAGGGTTTATTTTCATGAACCATTTTCTTTTTCCATGCGTTTTATGTGTTATTGCAAGACGTCCTGAGTGTTTGGGCGCAGGTTTTGCTTGCTCATCCAGCTGAGTTGTGTCATCTCTTGTTTCAGCTGCGGCCGGCGCGTCCGCTGCGCTCGGAGGTTGAGAGGGAGCGGCGTCTGACGCGCCCCTGCAGTGGACAGTACTCCCTGCGGCACTCTCCATCGACGAGCACTTTGAGTTCCCGCGACTCGCTCGGTAGGTGCCGCCATATTGGTACAATACCTACTCCCTGCGGCACTCGCCCTCCACCAGCACACTCAGCTCCCGCGACTCGCTTGGTGGGTGCCGCCATATTGGTACAGTACAGTTCAACAACAGCAGCCACACTAGTTGCAGGCAATACAATTTGCCCTTTGGAAATATGACTGTGTGTAGACGTCCCTGGCCTACGCGTTTGGCATATAACCACAATCTCGTAAACTATAATTCATTTATGTTCAAGACGTTGTGTAGACGGCACGTCCATTGTGAGCTTTCCGCCAATTACCACTGTCTTGTCTGGCGTTTTGCAGGTCCGCCCATGGACGAGGACTCTGAACCGCCGCCGCCTCCGCTGCCGGCCAAACAGAGCCGCCAGATGTCCATGCACATCGAACCCGACGGACAGGTTAGAGCTGACAAATTTGATGGGAGGGTGACCCGGCTGGTGCTGGCAGCGCGTACTGTGGACATAACTGGCTGGTGAAGAGTCATGATTGCAGTATTTCATGGATGCTGCTTGATTCACAAATCTCTCACAATCTCATGATAGCTAGCATGAAATGACTCATCCCTGCCCTGTTGTTAGCCAAGAACGCTAACGGCCACACCCGCTATGTACCGTATCCTGCCCGTATCAACCAGCCTTAATCACACCATTTATCGAGGGAGCCTCTCCATTGAAGTGGGTTGAGACGTGTGTAGCCAGTCCACTCCCCAGCCTGTCCCTGGCCGTAATGCACCGTGTCGCCTGTCCACAGGACCTGTCGTCTCTGCTGCCGGAGCCGCTGCCGCCCTCCCAGGAGGAACCGCCGCCCAAGCCGCCCCTCGGCCCCCCTCCCGGCGAGTCGTCAGTGTGAACCAGCCTTTCAGAATATGTCCGCACACACAAATATCAGGTCTTTCCAGCGGGCATTTCCGTCGAGATTGGTGACCGTGTTGGTTTGGGAGAACCGCCGTAGAACGTTTAGATCGGTCATGAAATGTAGTCAGAGTGTCAGCGATGAAACAGCGGTGTTGTGGATGAAAGTTCAGGGGGTGGAATGAAGGGAATGGCATTTGAGAAGGGTGACAAGTCGAGTGGCATTGTTCAGGATTGACTAGCGAGCTTCTCCGTTGTTCCGGGCGGACTTTTCTGTGAGCCTCGCCTCAATATGTTAGCGCCCGACGTGTAGACATGTATTCCTTCCTCGCCGTTATGCAAGCTTATATCGCGGCATGTTTGTATGTATGTATGTGAGTCGGGTTTATGTCGTTCCAGCGCCAGTGGGTGCTGCTTGCTCAGTTGGACGGGTGTGCCGCACACCGCCCTGTGGTAATCAATGGCCAGTGTGGGGGGATGTACCGGGGCGCCGACCATGTAGTCCAAATATGTAGCGTGGACGGACGGTAGAGTGTAGTGTTGTGTCGGCCGACTGGGGAGCGTAGTTAGTAACCGAGACCATGACAGCAGTCCCTGCCATCCAACAGCCTAGCCACGTACGCTTAGCAGTGCGGAGTGGCCCACAGTCGCCTGTGCAGTATTTCCCGGCCGCCGCCCGATGTTCTGCCTCTGACGTACGCGCGCGTCCTGTCAGTGGCTACAGAGTTCTAGTCCGGTTCCGGGATGATGAAACGCGATGCTAATCAGTGGGTGAACCTGCCGGCCTATGGAAGTATCTAGTCCGCTTTCTACGGGAGCCAGAGTCGGTAGAGCCGTGCAAAGTCGAGGCGGAGAGGCCAGTAGAGCCTCTACCGGGCTTGGTGGAGATTAGCCGTGGCTTGTACCGGTAACCAGATTGCTTATTTGAGGTATGAATGGGACCAGCAATGTCCTGCTTCCGAGCTCAATGCTGGCTGTTCCAGCCGATTCCGTACACAATGCGGGCTGTTTAAAGAGGACCAGATTTTTAGCTTTGTGATCGCTTTGCCATGATTTTGTAGCGCGTCTCGCGCGATGCAGTGCGCTGCCTGTAATGTGTTTCTACAAAGCTTATCGCATGGGCATTCAATCATTCCGCGTTTCGATGTTTCCTGTATCTGTCGCTACAGAACGTACCGTACAACGCTGTTATCACAAACCCCACCGAGTTTTCCGTCACATATCAGCTGTGCCGCCCGCCTCAGCGCGGGTAGACCTTAATTCCCCGGCTGTCGGCCCGTGACGCCTGCGGACGGCTGCGTAACTTCTGGTCATGTGAGTGTAACCGTCGCCTACATTATTGTATTTGAACAATGTGCTTTGAATACAAACAGTTACGCTGGGCTGGCTGTTTCGTCATGGTGTGAAGTGTGATCACCGGCTTGTGGGTCGAAGTCCAGTGTGACGAAACTCAGCGGTTTGTTTCAGTCGGTCGATCACCGAATAGCAGCGGAGAAGCGGGCGTCGGGGCTGTTGCCAGGACGAATATAGATCGCTCCGCGGTCGCATGAATAGGTTGAGTGGACCGGTCAGTGCTCTGACCGGGGAAATGGGATGCACCTATGATGATGGTGGAAGACTCCGGTCCACCCGGTCAGTAATTTGGGTGATAAGTAGCCGTAATACATGGCATGGAGTCAAAGCGAATTTGTGTCAAGAGTCTTTCTCCTGGCTCAAATGCAGTATTTAATTCCTTGCGGGGCTTCTGAAGCAAGGATTATTCATTATCCCAATTTCCTGCCTCCTGGTAAATACGATCGTGCTCTTTGGAGGTGTTTGCGCCGGGAAAGCATTTCACCGAAGAGTGGAAGCAAAGGAGAACTGTCAAAATGATGAAATGGTTTAATTTTAGTAAATTTACATAAAAAAAAGTTCCATAGCATTGGAAGGAACATATTGACTTAGCAGAGATATACGAATTGCAATGGAGATTCAGTCAATCGATCTTTATCTGTTGCATTTGAGCGATAAATCAAATTAGCAGCCGCGTACTAATCTCTGCCCCTTTTTGTTTACATAAGATGCGGCATTTATTTGCCGCCCCTTTTTTCCTTATACGGCCTTGCCTTTTTTCTTTTCTGTCTGTTGTAGGCCTCTCCGCTTGTTGGGGTCATTTCTTGTCATCTCGCTGGAAATTATTTGGTTATATACCCAATATCTGGATACTTATAAAGTGCTCTTTAAAATACGTATCGTATTGCACGGGTTTTGTCTTATCCGGCTGTTTGAAATCGCCTCAAAGCGCGGCACATCGATTGCGCATTCCGCTCCCGATGTCGATAAGGCACACAATCGCGTGCGGCGGTCGTCTCGGAGCACGGCTCAGCCGCGAATCGGCGACCGTCGGTCTCACTCGTCGGTGGTCAGGGTGCCGGAGCTTTGCAACCGGAACGATGGCGGCGGGACCATTCTGCAGCTTAGATGATGTTAACAAGAATGTAATCAAATTGGAATATGCTGTCAGAGGGCCTTTGGTCATCAGGGCTGGTGAAATAGCAAAGGAGTTGGCAAAGGTAAGCTAATGATTGGATGGGAATATGCCTATGCTCATGTTGCAGCTCTTGACCTTGTGAAGGTCATGGATTATTACTGTATTTTTATGTGATTGTTGGATCTGAAAACATGGTTGTTTATGTCTTATGATTGTGCAGGTTTATTTTAATCATTATTGATAGCATTATTGTTAGAATGGTTCCATCTCATCACAAAAATCTCGTGTAAATCTGAACGGTCTCCCTGCGTCGCTATTAATATGTAAGGATGTACGAAAAGTGCATTTAAATTATTTTTCATTTATTTGGCAATTTAAGACTTATCTAGTTGTAACTGGCAAATCTGCTTTCATTTGTAATTTCAACTGCTATATTGTTTACTAGTGAAGCCCTAAATATTGTTACCAACAACACTTTTGTGATTTCAGGGAGAGAAGAAGCCCTTCACCAGTGTCATCAGGGCCAACATTGGAGATGCCCATGCAATGGGACAAAAGTACATCACATTCATCAGACAGGCAAGTGATAAATTGAAGTTTGTCACGGATGGCTAGAGCCTGGAACTGGAAAAGCTGCTGAGTTTCTTTGCTACATTTCCATCAGAGATGACTGTTTTTCCCAGGCTGTTTCTGATTCAAATGCACGTGCTTAAGTATGACATTCACAAGACATTTATAGATATGTAAGTTGACAGCCCATGTGTGACCTTGTCTATTTGCAGGTGACGGCTCTCTGTGTGTACCCTGAGCTGATGAAATCACCCGACTTCCCAGAGGACACCAAAGAGCATGCCCGCACCATTCTGGGAGGCAAGTGTTCTGAGCCAGCACCCATTTCAGGAGTGATGGCAATTACTGTTTGGACTCTTACTATCATACCCCAAGCATGAGAGATCAGTATTGTCTCCTTCAGCCAGGCTGGAGACATATTGTCTTCTTTGGGCTGATAAATTTCAACAATTAGGTGTTTGTGGATTGCAGTTTGTTCTAAAAAAAAACAATGTCATTTTTATCGGGATGATATCCCAAACTAAAACCATTTTGAACGATGATGTCACTGGGTCACAACTGCCGTCTGCCGAGGCGGACATCGTCGCACAAACGGGGCGCCGTCGGAATCGTGTGTGTAGCACGATATCCGTCATTATATTCGTCACGATATCCGCCACAATACGCTGGCGCACGTCGGGGCGCCAACGTGAAGTTGTGCAGAGAGTGAGACTGCCCGCTGCGACCTAGATTAGCGGCTGCGGGTACGGAGAGTAAGAAAGTCGTATGTCAAAAAGCAAATCAAAATACAGAATTAGAAATAACTTTGAAGTTAAACCTGGCTCAAGCGGCACGCACGCTACTGCAACACGGTGCGCGGCGAGCACGCATTAACTAAGCGAGAGTGAGCACTGGGAAAACAGGTATAGAGCGAAGAATGAGAGGGAAGAGCAAACGGATGATGCATTTCGTCGTTGACACACGTTTTACCCAATCACTCAATCATTCATTAAATCCCACATTAATTTGCCGCGCTGTGTTCCGTTGCCAGGCTGTGGCGGCGGCAGTCTGGGCGCCTACAGCGAGTCGGTGGGTGTCGAAGTAATCCGCCGGCACGTCGCCAAGTACATCGAGGACAGGGACGGCGGCATCAAGTGCGACTACAATAACGTCATCCTCTCCGGTGGCGCCTCGGAGGCCATCAAGGTACTGAACGGATTGGCAAGAGCATTGTCAGACAGTGGGGATCCTAGGCTCCCAGGTTGTGTTTGCTCACACCCAGGACGGCAGAAATGTTGCCATCGGGCTTTGAAATGCCGTGAGAAACTTGTAGATTCATTTATGCTACTGACGGCAATTCGAGGCCGGACGGCAATTAATAATCTGTTATACGGGGTGTGAGCGAAGACTTACTTACTTACACAGTCTAAGACTTACTTTTCCACCAACCTGTTGAATTACGTCGCTGACGACCTGTGAAGCTCTTCCCCATCGTCCCCACGCTGTTCGTCACTGACTGAGAGTGTCTCCCGTCTCTGCCGCCAGTCTGTGATGGAGCTGCTGAACCGTCCTGTGGACGGTAAGCCGGTGGGAGTGATGGTGCCCATCCCGCAGTACCCGCTCTACTCGGCCACCGTGGCAGAGTTCGGCATGCACCAGGTGAGTGGCGGGATCGGATCGGGCCGTGCGGAGGGAGATAGGGTAGGGATCTTGTACCACATGGAAACTGGGTGATCGTCGTCTATGCAGAATACTAGGTTGTCACAAGACGTGTCCTGATATGTGATCGCAGGATCAGGGGCTTGTGGCCAAGGAATCAAAGCGGAAATACCTAGTGATCAAGCTGGGCGTGTATGGCCGCACAACTATAAATTACGAGCGTTTCTTCGCTATCCGCTTATTTTTACTCTTTCTCCACGTATATCATAGCAGAAACCATCAACCCAAACACCCTAACTGTACCCTATCTTCTCCACTGCATTCCAGATCAACTACTACCTCGACGAGCCGCGGGCCTGGGCTCTGGACATCCCCGAGCTGGCCCGCGCCCTGGAGGAGTCCCGCTCCACCTGCATTCCCCGTCTGCTGGTGGTGATCAACCCGGGCAACCCGACCGGCTCCGTACTGACCCGACAGAACATCGAGGACATCATCAAGTTCGCCTTCGAGAACCGGCTCATCATTATGGCTGATGAGGTAAGGCGAGTGGTTCGTGGTAGATTCATAGAAGAACTCAGACCTATGAATAAATTGAGAGGCCACAGCCTTCAGTCGTCGTCATGACTGCGAACATTGGCTAAACATTGGCTGAAAACAATGTCGTGAACATTGGCTAAAAACATGCTCAGTGCGAATAGGTGAATCATAGGCAATTACGGAGCCCAGTTTGTAAAGGCATCGATTGTGTCACTTGTTTATATGGACTTTTTTCTGAAACCCCGTCTGCTTGCTAATCCGCCCTTCGAACTACGATGTTATGTTTTATTGTTACTCTTGTGAGATTAGCAGTCGCCATGAGATTATCAGTTGCCGGTAATATTATTATTATTATTATTATTATTGTTTATTCAGCATCGTCATGCGACAAAAAGATACATACGCCCCCCCCCCCCCCACCCATGTGTGCCGAGGGATTTCTGACCCACAACCCTCTCCCCACCCGCCGCTGCTAGGTGTACCAGCACAACGTGTACGCTGCCGACCGGGAGTTCCACTCGTTCAAGAAGGTCATCTCCGAGATGGGAGAGCCGTACAACACTATGGAGATGGCCTCGTTCATGTCCTGCTCCAAGGGTGAGGCAAATGGCTGACGGTCGGCACGAAGGACGAGGTGGTGCAATGCGGCATTTTGAAATCAGAACCGCGGGCGATATGGTAGTGTTTTGGCAGAGCCCTAAACCCTAATCAGCACAGCGATTGGAATATGTTGGGATCGTGGTTGGGATAATTGTGAATCACCTTTGAAGAAACGCCAGGGTGGCAGCTTCTTTTCGTTGAACTTCTGAGAACGGGAACAAGTGAGTGATTAACATGTTCTCTGATTCTTTTGGAGTTCGTACTCTCAGGGCACGAGTATGCCCTGAGGCTGATTACTGATTAGATCGCTGAACATGTGACGGATGTCCATATTGTTTCCATGTTACAGGCTACATGGGCGAGTGCGGTCTGCGCGGCGGCTACTGCGAGCTGCTCAACTTCGACCCCAAGGTGAAGGCCATGCTGTTCAAGATGATCTCGGCCAAACTCTGCTCCACCGTTCACGGACAGGTAACGAGTGACTTAGACTGTTACGCTATGACGCCGCGGGCAGGGAGCGGGGCTAGTATGCGCTGTGTACTTTAAATGTCGCAATTTCCTTAACCCTGATTTTTGTTCATTATGTTATGGAAGCACGATGGCTAGGTTTGGATACCGTTCAATGGACGCTTGAGCTGTAGGGATTTAAAGACCGAAATCCAGGGAAGCTCTGAAAGTATGACACAGTCCTGTGGTTTTTGTCATGGGATTTGTTGCATTTTACCCTGCATTCATCTTTCTTCTTAAATAAATATACTTGCGTTAGGTACTTGTTATCTGTTAGAGGAACCTCCCTCAACTAGCATATGCAGTATGCACACAGGCCCACGAGATTTTAAAGTATAGACCCCTACGTTCCGTCCTGTGGAAACGATCTTACTCTAACCATCTCTCGCCGCCCGGTGTCCGTCAGGCGGTGATGGACTGCGTGGTGAACCCGCCTAAGCCCGGCGACCCCAGCTACGAGCTCTACAGCCAGGAGCGAGACGCCGTGCTCAGCTCGCTCAAGGAGCGCGCCGCCCTCATCGCCGAGACGTTCAACTCCATGGAGGGCTTCAAGTGCAACCAGGTGCAGGGCGCCATGTACGCCTTCCCGCAGGTGAGAGAGATGGCCGGGAAAACGCTGATAGCTTCAGTGTTAGCTGATCAGTCGGCTTTGTGCTGGTAGTTAAACTTTCTGTGTGATGATTGAAGACGTCTAAATTATTTGAGTGTTTGACGAAGACGCTTATCTTTGTATGGGTTGTGGTGTTAGTCACGGGTGGTCGTTTGTAATCGTATAAATGAGTCATCGGTGTCACACTATATTCACATGTCTTATTCTCCTCATAGATCGTCTGCCAGTCACCGATCTCCCTAGCTTCCCCGTATCCTAATTGTCAATCAGTATCAACGTGTATTTGTAGATATTTAGAGCGACGATCTCATCCTTATCACTTGGCAATGTATGTATATCGCATGCGCCAGCTCACTGATGTATCTCTCTCCCAACAGCTGGAGCTACCGGAGAAGGCCATCGAGGCGGCCAAGGCTGCGGGCCAGGCACCGGACGTGTTCTATGCCTTCCAGCTGCTGGAGAACACGGGCATCTGTGTGGTGCCCGGCTCCGGGTTCGGCCAGCGGCCCGGCACTTACCACTTCAGGTACGCTAGACGGGATAGGACCGGTGCTGCTTATCACACGATGACTTGTTATGCAGGATTTGTAAATGTAAATGGGGAGCGCTTGTGGCAAGGTGTGCGTTTGTACAACGTTGGCGTATGCGCATTTATACCTGTGTCTCGTTTTGAAGAGTTCAATCATTGTGACTTTCGGATTTAAAACGGCGGTTATTAAATCACGTGCTTGGGTGAATTCACAATTGGCTATCGGAGCCTGCTTTTGTGTTTTATCGACGCAAAAGCGGGCTCCCGGTGTCAGCCAGTCGGGGTTGGCTGTAAAAACACTTAGCGTTGGCAAAGGTCATGCTTGGGAGTCACGTGAAGTGGCTTATGTAACAACCGTAAAAATAGTTCGGTAAAGAACAGGCAACACCTGGCTCCTTGCCACGGCGGCTGGCGCGTGCCGACAAACCTAGTGGATGGATTGATCTATTGAATAGGTTTAGTTAGGACTTCCAGGAACAATAGATTTCGGGGTGCAGTTTATCAACAAACAAATGTTACAGTTGCAAGCAGCTGTTCTAACCTACGTACGCCTTTCGTTTTATGTCCAGTCATGAAGTCCTTATACAATTGGCTCATAGCTCCAGTTGACATCACCTCACTTCTCTTGCCGCGGCAGGACCACGATCCTGCCTCAGACGCCGCTGCTCAAGGAGATGCTGGCCCGTATGCAGGAGTTCCACCAGACCTTCATCAAGAAGTACCAATAGACGACTGAACCCTCAGCATGATCCGGTAAACCGCTCAGCAGTGCATGAATGGGAGTTGATAGCAGCAGTTGCTATCAACTCTCCAATGTCAGTTGGTGATACAACTCGTCAGAATTAGGATCAACGAAATCGCGGAGCTCTACCATGGGCTCGTGGCCGCTGATACATAGTACATATACCAGCCTACTGCCTTCCTGTGAACTCCTTTTGTGCACGGTGGTTTTGACCTGTCTATATTCGGTGGCAGTGTGACGGTACTTGGCGGAAGATTGTAGGCAGAGCCGTGGTAGGCTGCAGTAATGTGCCGTGGTCGCGTAGCGAATTTGTGGCCCCGTAAGGTGTCTATGTAACGTAGTCGAAACTGAAGTCGTTTGTCGGAGCTGCTATTTAATGTTGCATGATTTTGACTTGCGAGCAGACTTTTTCGATCTGCTTAGGCGTATTACTGGGGCTTTGATCTGAAGGAGATATTACGTATATCTTGTCGCTACTAGCTTCACGTTTGGCATACATTCGACACATTCGATATGCTACCAGAGCTCAGCTGATGTATCTTACAGCAGACGGAAACCAAAGTTATATTTTGGCACGAACAACGAAGAACAATGCATCACCTTCTGGGCTACCACCGACGGTGCTTCCATGGACAAAACGCACCAGCTCGATGTGACGATTGAAAACTTGCAAGATAGCAGGGATTGCCCTGGTTGCTACCCGCTTACATACTTAACAGGGTGTTAAATGTAAAGGAACGCTAACGGCCATCAAATGGCTAAAACTGCTCGGCGCTTACTATTGGCGGAAGTGCGGAAAGATAAATGTGATTTTAAGTGATAATCTATAAAAAGACGGGGCTTGGGCGAGGGAACTTACCGAAGACGGTGCCTGGGAAAGTCGATGTAAAGATGCAAGAAAACATGTATATTTGCTACTCATGTACGGTTGCGTCGGAACGTACTTTGCCGTGAGAGGAAATACACATCGAGAGCCTGTTTAGCATCACCTGGTTTTACTAGATAGCTGAGATCGCGTTTCTTTAGGCCCAGTCAACCCACAACATGAGAAGAATTTGCAAAATACAGAAACACCAACAAATATCGCATCGTAGAATGAGATTATATGAGATTATGTGCGCGTACACTGTGAGACACTCGAACACTTATCATTTCAAATCATTTGTACACTGAATGCAAAGCGAAATGGCAGTGAATGTCGAGGATGGAATAGGTAACCACATAAGACACGATAACAGGATCCGAGCTATTTTGTGCAGCTCATCGCCCCAACGTCTTCCAAACATTCCACAGCTCTCGCCCCCAGCTCGAATCGGTTCGTTCGCTTCCAAGCTACACTGCCGCTGCTGCCGGGGTGAATCTTCTTCCGTGAGGCGAGACTAGTTCACCACTCTTCGCCCATAATTCCAAGTTTCATGTGAATTCACGTCGGGGTGGTTTGATAGTTGTCTACTCTGTCCCCAGCGATCAAATATTAAATAATATGTTGCACATGTTGCATCATTGACACAACGCGACGATCCACGCGTGAAGGTTCAAATGAGCGTCATGGAGATGAGTTTGTGTGAGTGGAAACCGAGAGAGGAGGAGGCGGGCATGGAGAGGAACTGTCCGGTTCGCCGACCGGAGTTGCTGGGCTGTCGGAGATGGAGCTGAACCAGATCATCAATCCCATACACGTCGTCCGGGGAGCCGGCTCCGGCCTGGTGTGCTAGTACTACCTGCGGGGCAACGAGCTGTACTCCATGGAGCGGTACGAAGACGGATGTAGTTCTACACTGCCGTGCAAAGGAAGCGCCACGCATGCCATTTTCGGTCAGAAATGTTTTACATCGATCGACAGACCAAGAAACTCTTTTCTCAAGTTTGTTTTAAAGGGACCCTCCCACCTTCAAAAAAGTTAATGAATTGGCATGAAAGTGATGTCGCTCGGTTCAGAAAGAGCGAAAAAACGAATATCTACCAAATTTCATCGAAAAATATTCACCGGTTTTCAAGATATTAGACTTTTACCTTTGTTTACTTTTTGGGACCTCCGCTGTTCCCAGGGACTTTATTTGAAAGTGCGGCATTTGTTGCGCGCAAAGCAGCATATACCACCGCGTGCTACCAAACGTTTTAGTCAAACATTTAAAAATCGTTAGATATCTGCGCTGACGTCACACATTCAGAGGGGTATTCCTATGCATTAGCCCCTCTGAATCAAAATGCTGCAATTTTGAAATTCAATATTTCCGATTTAAGGCATTTCTCGATGTTGTGAGTGCCGAAACCGGTAATTGTGAGCCAGGGACCCCATTTTGGCTATCTCAACTCAAATCTAATGTTAAGGTGGGAGGGTCCCTTTAATACGCATGTAACATACCTACAATGGAAGGCAGACAAAACTGAAAACACGATTCGATTTGTCCGGATTTATTGTATCCAAAGCAATGTCAAAACATATTGCGTGATTGATTTTGCTCCATGCCCATGGAAACATGCGTGGTTTGCCAGGCATCTCCACACTCAATATACCCTGATAGACTGGTATATCATGGGTTGGGTGCCTAAAGGGATTAAAGGGACCCTCCCACCTTCAAAAAAGTTAATGAATTGGCATGAAAGTGATGTCGCTCGGTTCAGAAAGAGCAAAAACGAATATCGACCAAATTTCATCGAAAAATATTCACCGGTTTTCAAGATATTAGACTTTTACTTTTGTTTACTTTTTGGGATCTCCGCTGTTCCTAGCGACTTTATTTGAAAGTGCGGCATTTGTTGCGCGCAAAGCAGCATATACCACCGCGTGCTACAAAACGTTTTAGTCAAACATTTAACGGACGTTCGAAAGCCTGATGACGTCATCAGATTCCCGTAATGGTTAAGAGATAGGGACCACGCTAGTCCCACCCTGCAAGTAAAGGGAAGAATTTTCTTGAACACCATAAAGCTGCGGGGGTTGCGACCAGGATAAATGGTGGTTTCTGAGCCTGGCCGCAAACTTGGCTATCTCAACTCAAAACTAATGTTAAGGTGGGAGGGTCCCTTTAAAGTTCGCATGGTCAAATCATGTATGTACGGACCTCGCTTGAATTGCGTATTTCCTGACAAAAGGAGTTACGCGGATTGATAAATACCTGGTATCTCCGGGAAGGAGGTACCTGGAGTCTACGGTCGCGGGACTACCATACACAAAATCAACTCATATAGCTGGTTGGCGCTTGGTTGGCGCCTTGGTTGGCGCATGACCGTGGGTTGGCGCCAAATACGGCCTTGGCGCCAATTTAAACTTGTTGAATAACCCGAATAACCCCACTTTTGACCGAGAGGCACGTCGGCAATGGTAGCGTACCTAATACCTATGTGCTTCCAGTAATACCGCAGCACCGCAGAAAGATGTCCAAAGAAGCCAGAGATCCCAGAAAAGGGAACAGCCTGAAGTGGACCCTTCTCAGTTCAGAAGCTGCACGGGAGCCCGTTAGAGTGTGCAAATCGTTATTTTCGTGCTCTATATGATTCGGTCAGACTCTGTGGTTCTTGAAGCGGTGAAGACGGACGCTCACCATCACGGCAGATGGTGACCAGTGCGGTCATACCACGCGCAACACAAAACTCGACGAAGATCAGATCACCGAACATATCGTGAGGTACAAGCCAGTCAAACACCATTATAAGTACGAGCACGCGCCTCACCGTCTTTACCTTCCCACAGATGTAACCGTGCAAAAGATGTACGAGGATTATATGTAGGCAGCACTAGCAGAGCGATGCGAAGTGCAGCCGTTCACACGGGAGAGGTACCGCCAGTCGGTGCGGCGCCCTAACATCGGGAACACCCATCTCAGGCGAGGAACGCTCTAGGTGCTCAGTGCAAGTCCAGCACGTCGCAGAAGTGCACGGTCAGCTGGAGACGGAGCCCGACCGATGGCCGATCGCCACCAGATCGACTGCGCTCAGTGCTCTGCGCATATGGAGTACCTCCAGGCAGCAAAGGAGGGTGGGGACTCCAACAATAGAGATGCTGACAGGCAGTGGAGGGATGACGAAATGATTCTTGCTGCAGACATGATGAAAGTGACCATGCTGCCAATCATGCATATCAAAGAATGTGTTTTCACATCACATCTGATCGCAAACGAGACTTTCGCAGTTGTTATGCCAGAGAAGAAAGAGATGGAGGCGGCGCGGCGCTCCTTGCAGCGCAGTGACGGCGCGTGCGTCGTTTGGCATGAGGCGGATGCTGGACGATTCGGAGAGTAGGTCTCTGCCACGTTTTATCTGTTTCTTGATACCGTATGTATGCCGAAACAGAAGTGTTGACCATCTGGGCAGACAACTGTGCCGGGCAAAACAAGAACTGGGTGCTGATCAATGTCATTCTGCAGCTGGTCAAGTGACCAAGTCACCTCTGAACGGCATCGAATCCCTTACTTTCAATATTTTGCTAGCCTGACCACACTGCGATGGCATCTGACGCAGGTCACTAAGAAGATCAAAACGACCGGCAAGCTTGAAGACTTCAGTGACTACGTCGCTGCGGCGGAAGCCACTGGCATGAGGTGCCTGCGGATGGCTCCGGGCACCAACATGCACCAGACGGAAGACGGCGTAAGCAAAACGAAGCTAAAGCGGCTCAGTGTGGAGTGTGGACGATGAGCGTCCATACCTGACGCGCTTGAAAGGGAGCAGTTTCAAGCGAGGATCAGTATTGATGTTCACGAAGACCAGCGTGAACGAGAACACATACAAGGCGTTTGACTTGCTCATGACCACTTTTGACCCAACGAAGCAGCCAGAGCTGCTTCCAAATCCAGCCACAAGGAATCCCGGTGCGCCTGTGAAAGCATCCCGAAGTGCTGCGCTGCATCGCCCGTACATGCCCTCCTACCAGAGAGCCTTCTGGCAGGGCCTGGTCGAGCAGAGCACACAGACGAAAAGACGATGGCAGGCTCCCCTAGGGGGCTCGTCGCTCGGTCGGAAGAGAAGGAAAACCTCGTAAAGTGCATGTCATGATGTCACCACATGTCCATGTCATACGTCGCGCTCTGAGGTTCAGCTGAGAGCTGTGTTGCTATGCTATGCTACAATGTTTGAGTGAGTTGTTTGCTTCCTTACAAGTTATATTTGTTGATGTTCCTAACATCCATATTCTACTTAAAAAAATGTGCGATACCTATTACCTATGTGCTTCCAGTAGGTACTCCAGCACCGCGGAAAAACGTGCAAAGAACCCTAAAAAAGGGAACAGCCTGAAGTGGACCCTTCCAAGTTCAGAAGCTGCACGGGAGCCCATTAGTGTGCAAATCGTTCTTCTTGTGCTCTCTATGATTCGGTCAGACTCTGCGGTTCTCGACTCTCGTAGCGGTGAAGACGGACGCTCACCATCACGGCAGATGGTGACCAGTGCGGTCGCATCGCGCCGAACACAAAACCAGCCCAAGAGCAGATCACCAAACATATTACAAGGTATGGCAAAAAAGGACAATTTTTCAACAAGGCTCAACGGAATCGCATAACGAGGGAAGTTCAACGATATTTCTTTTATCTCTGCAAGCTTGTCCACGGTTTCTATCAGGAAAACACATTTTCGACTGTCCTGGACATTTTAGTTTTTCAGAAGACGACATACGTGATTTTTCCTTTGCACGGCAGTGTGTCACGAGATCGCTAACCGGCTTATTCTGGCAGTGAGCGTCATCCTCACCAGATCAAGGGCACATGAGATGGGCACATGAGGCATGAGATCAAGGGCACATGAGGCACAGATGATATGAGCCATGAGCGCTCGTTATAACGAAATGCCTTATCTTGCGTCCAGCAGGGAAGCTTTGCTGAACTGTGCAGCCGCCGTAACTTGTCCGCTGTTTCTGCATGCTTTGGTCGGACATATTTGTGACATGCCAGCCTGCTCTATGCAATGACGGGTCGGCCGTGTCCCATCCCTGTTGCTGGCGAATACAATAGAACGTTGTTTAACAAAATGATTGCACATAACACTCATACCCACCGGACACTAAATACGCCCCTGTCGTTCGTTTGGTCGTTATCTTTGGTCTGTTGTACCCCGGCCTTCCCTCCCCCGTCGGTCGTTACCGCTCCCGGCCCCTCAGCTGGGCGAGGTGAGCTGTTTCAGGAAGGCCGCCTCCCTGTCCAAAAACTCCCGGTCCTCGTCGGCTCGTAGTTTCCACAGCAGCACCGCCGGGTCGACAGGGATCAGCTGAAAGAAGAAACACAACGGTCACAGGCTGTGCGTACGAAACTATAACCCGGGGCCAGGCAGAAGTTGAATGTACTGACACGGAACGTCAATGAATGGGACGGAGATTACCCAATCATCGTATTCAGGAAACATTACATAGCCGATGGACGTATTAAAAAATCGCTCATACGATACAAACCTCATTCATGGCTCTGGTTTCCTGCCCAAATAATATGACATGACGACTGACCTGACCATTAAATATTTGAATCTTAAACGTCTATCGGCGTTCCGTTATATCTATTTACGTTCGGTACCTGCAGATTCCCCAATCTTACAATAGTTCTTCTTGTTTGCCGTACCTCGGGTCCGCCCGCGGCTCCGTCTCCCAGCGTCCTCTCGCCGCCTCCCCAGGCGTCTGGGGGTCCGCTGGGTCGGGCCGGACTGCCCAGCAGGTCGGCAGCACCCGCCGCGGCCGACTGCCGCTGGTGGCTCAGCTGCAGACGCTCCTGGGGAGGGTCGAAGGAAGTCACTTGTGGGAATAACTCAGTGACAGACTAAACACAGAACAACGCGACGACTATGTGTGCCTTTTGAATAAAAATGTTACACGTTTGCTGAGCATGAAAAATCAGCGTAACTCGTTTCGTATTTCGAATTGCACCGCAGTAAATAATGCATGTATGTCGTTTGTCTGTGAAAAAATCGACTATAATCGACTATATAGCTAAAAATTATCCTTGACGAATCGACTTCACCCAGGAGCAGCTATTCTTCCAGTAAACCCAACATCCCCCCAGCTGAGCGCGGCTCACCTGCGCCAGCAGTCTCTCCTGCGCCTTCAGCTTGGCCTGCTGCCGCTCCAGCAGCAGCTGGCTCTTGGTCAGCTGTTGCCGGAGTTGGTGGGCTTCCTCCAGCGCGCGCCGGCCCTCGTCCCGGCTGCGCACCGCCAGCTCCGACACGTCCTCCACCTCCTGGCTCTTGAGCTTCAGCAGCTGCGCCTGGCTCTGGAGCCGCTCCAGCTCTCGGGACATGGCCTGCTCGCGGCTGTCGGCCGCCAGCACCGCCTGGAGCGGACGGGGAGGTTATTTCAGGACAGCCTGCAGCGGAGGTGGAGGGAGAGGGTTAGACAGAGTTAGGCAGCCGGAGAGATCCACAATCTTCGCCTGTTTTGATAAAAATGTAATTTCATAATACATCACAGATGAACGGTTGATCGGTAGCAACTAGCCTGTTATGGTCATGCGGACAAATCCGCATGACCAGACAGTCTAATATAGGAGTTAGTCTGACCAGTGATAAAAATACAGACGTCAGACCGCGGCCTCCCTCATCCCACCAGTCCAACGTCCGTACCTGTTTGGCCTCCGCCTGCAGCGCGGCCAGCCGGTCCCTCTCGGTACTAACGGCGGTCCGTTCCTCCACCAGAGCCCGGTACATACCGTCCAGCTCGGCCAGCGTCTTATGGGACACGGCGCAAGGGGGTGTTGGAAAGTATGCACGCATGTTCATTGGTAATGGAACATGGTAACAACACGCACTACACACTTGATTATCCCAGTAAGGACAAGCCATTGATGCGACGTAAAATGAGATAAGTAGTAAGTACGCTAAGATTATATAATATCACACGGGGCCGGTAAAATGTTTCATTCAGGACCGAGGGATTTGTTGAGTTTTCCGCACGAGACCGAAGGTCGAGGGCGGAAAATTCAACAAAGCCCGAGGTCCTGAATGAAACATTCCGGCCCAAGTGTGATATTTATTTTAGCATATGCCGTTTAATTTCCATATTTAAGCTTCTTTAACAATTTTACATTCTTGAAAGAAGTGGAAAAACCAAGACCGAATATCAAGAACTAAAAAATGTACATATTCCCTGACCAAGATAATAAACCAAGCCGACTCATCCTTGTGTCTGGCTGTGAGTTGGATTCCTATCAAACCAAGAACATCTACTTCAATCTATGTCATATGAGAAGCTAGAGTAACGTTCGTTTCCAATATTAGAGAAGAGTGGAAGGTATACCTACAATCCTGTGAAGTGAGCGCTTGGTTTTCTACCCATGTCAATATTCTAAGCCACACTTCGGAGTCGATCGATCGCTGTGTATTCGTTAAAAAGCTTTTAACGAATACACAGCGATCGATCGACTCCGAAGTGTGGCTTAGAATAATTATTAATGCGAATCTAGTGCATTTTCTTTAAACCATGTCAATATGAATAAATTTTTACTGATCAATGTGAAATGCGTTTTTTTTTTGTCAATTCATTACACTTGTAAAAGGCATGAAATTGGCGCTACACTCTACAGTAGGTGATTAATTAATCTGTCAGTACATTAAGATTTAAAATATTATCTTATTGAAAAACAACATTTACAATCTCTTCAATAGTTCAAAGCGACCAAATGCAACACGTCAGTTAACGTTATATTTATATCAGTTAAAGGAAGGGTGCCACCTTTTGGACACAACGCAGTTTTTACAAGATTAGCCTCACATGAACCTAAAAACCGGCTTCACTTACCTATGCTCGAGACGGTCAGCATTGAATCCGCACGTGAAGTTATCATTTGCGAGTTTTGCTGCCAGCATTCGGGCAGGCAAAAATCTTCAGCACTATTTCCTCGTCGTGTTAAGGGTATTTTATAAAACATGAAATCAGCAAAGGTATGTATAAAAGTTATACTTTTGAAGCATGTTTTATCATTTTGAAAGGGTATATTTTTTCTTTATGGTATACACTTAAGTTTTAAAATTTTAATTGGGAAGTTTTTCTAGTAAGTTGCATGAAGGGTGAAGGGTTCCATATCCATAGATCTCTTAAAGGGACCCTCCCACCTTAAAAAGTTTATGAATTGGCATGAAAGTGATGTCGCTCGGTTCAGAAAGAGCGAAAACGAATATCTACCAAATTTCACCGAAAAATATTCACCGGTTTTCAAGATATTAGACTTTTACTTTTGTTTACTTTTTTGATATCTCCGCTGTTTCTAGCGACTTTATTTTAGAAGTGCGGCGTTTGCGGCAGATGTTGCGCGCAAATAGCATATACCACCGCGTGCTACAAAACGTTTTAGTCAAACATTTAAAAATCGTTAGATATTTGCGCTGACGTCACACATTCAGAGGGGTATTCCTAAGCATTAGCCCCTCTGAATCAAAATGCTGCAATTTTGAAATTCAATATTTCCGATTTAAGGCATTTCTCGATGTTGTGAGTGCCGAAACCGGTAATTGTGAGCCAGGGACCCCATTTTGGCTATCTCAACTCAAATCTAATGTTAAGGTGGGAGCCGGGAGGGTCCCTTTAAGCATTGTAAAGGAAAAACCTTTACTCGACTTATTTGATGTTCTTTTCTGATGTTCTTTCTGATGTTCTTTTGATGAAACCTTTAGTTCAAATCATGTTATCTTCTTCCTTTTTATTTGTTCATCTTTTTGTCTCAGTTGCGCCATCAATGCAAATGGCAGAATGATATGTTGCCATGACAACAGGATATGCCAGCCGTCCTAGCTGCCACATCAAACGACCTTGAGTTGTAGTGGTGATATAAACAACGATCTTTTTTTTTGGCCAATGTATTAAATGCAATGTTTCGGTTTTTTGTATATTGTGGACGCGCTAACCACGTCTAAAAATTCAAATAAGTAAAATAGATTCATAGAACAAAAATTTCGGAAGGTGGCACCCTTCCTTTAAGCTCTTTTCCAGCGCCTTCCTCCGTCTCAGGAAATGCTTCAAAAGTTCGCTGGTAAAATGTTTTGCCCATGGGCCGAAACCTTTGCTCAATTGACTTCAACATTATGCGGTTTAATCCAAAAAGCTTTTACCGCACGCTCGCGCTAATGCTAGACATACTCCGGCATATGCTAATGGTCAACATTAACCGTACCTACTTGCAATGTCACTCAAATAAGCATCTAGCAAACTGCCAGAATGTGTGGTAAATTTTCCCACAATTACGATCGGTAACGCACAAAGAAACAGGATCCATCCGGAGCTCTCACCTCCAGCAGGTCGCACCTCCCCATCACCCTCGCCCAGACAATCTTTACACACGTCCTATCCAATTATTCCCATCAAATCATCAACCCCAGAAATTCCGTTGCTTCCACCACCCGTCCACCTGCCCGGGTGCATCACCATCCCATGCCCTCTTACCGGCTGGTGGTCTGGTACGAACTGGCCCCGTCCCGGTGCACGCTCCAGTCCCGCAATGCGCAGGCGCGCGTCCAATCGCGCATGTGCGGCGGCGATCTCGTGTCGCTCGGCGTTGACCTCCTGCAGCCAGAGTTTCTGTTCTTCTAGGAGTTCCTGCCGGAGACGCTGGGGGATGGGAACAGGGAGGTCAAGCGCAAGCCGGGAACATATAATATAACACAAGTGTGTGGTGGGGTATGGATTTTGATTGGGTGACTAGCGACTGCTAATGTATCATAGTTTTTATGTTGACAATTTCTTGTAGGCCGTTTAATCGTTGAGTAAACGAAGCAAGAGAAAATAATGATTTGAGACATTCAAACTAATTGAGAAAATATCGTAAAATCTACAGATCAGAGATTCTCAGGTACCAGGTTTCCCACAATGGTGATATTGTAACAGAGGCAGAACTTTAATGCAAAATAAAATCTGATGTTTAAAGACTGTAACCGGTTGTGGTGTCAGTAGTGACTAGTGACTCACACAATTTACCCCAGGTATCTATCAAAAATTCAAACTGTTTTCCACACAGTTACCTGCCCCCCCCCCCCCTCCGCTCAGTTCCCCACCCTGACCTCGATCTGGTGCCGCTCCTGCTCGACCCTGCCCAGCAGCGAGGCACGCTCCTTGTCCAGTGCCGACTCACGGGCCTCCACACGGGCCTGCTGCTGCTGCAGGCGCAGTGTCGCCTCCTGCGGGGAACAGGGACGGGGAGGGGCAGTGCCGCAGTGTTAGCAGTGCAGCTGCTCGGACGTGACGTCACGGTCACGGAGTGGAGTAAATAACGCACTCCGAAAACCCACTGGTGAATTACAACTTACATGAATGACGCATGTCGATGTCGAAAAGGGCAAGCGTGTCGAGATTAACCCTATTCCTGGCGGGCTCCGCCGGGACAAGAAACTGGCGGGGGGGGGGGCGATTCGCCCCCCCCCCTGAGATCTCGAGAACGAAGCAAGATAGCGACAAGCGGTAAACGGCATCGGATACGCACGGCCAAGATCTACAATTTTTACTAAGGTCATTTTCAGGTCAGGTCAAAGATGACGTCACAGGGGTCGAAAAAGTCAAAATGGCGGCACTAGATATGGAGAGTTTTTCTCGAATAACTTTCGAATTAGTCAAGATAGGAACAAACTAAGGGCATCATCGTGATCCTCTCGTCAATCCGCATCGAATGATATATATGTTGACCTCGAAAGGTCAAGGTCAAAGGTTGACCTCAGGTCACGTGACCTCGAGGTCATCATGTATATCATTCGATGCGTCTTGACGAGCTGAACACAATGAGACCATCCACGCGTCTGTATCTTGTTCCTGTACGGAGTTATTGGCCAAAAACCTTTGGTGACCTTTGATGACGTCACATGACCTCACAGCTGCCCAACAGCAAAACAGACCTCAAGGTAGTGAAGGTTGATCGTATATGAAGTCATGTATGGTATATGGGGCCATTCCGACCCGTTTTAGTGGTAAAAACAGGGAGTTGATTTTTCCCCCATTGACTTATAATGGGGAGGTCGCGAAATTGACCTGACCTTAGGTCACCGATATCAAAATTCCGAGATATACAAATTGCACATACTGGTACCCTAACTAAACCCTGAAGAGAAGAAATTGATCGGTCAAAAACTCTAGCTCTGGCGTGATTGCAAACTTTTCTGAGGTAGCGTCACCAAACCGCCTCTGGTGACCTGACCTGAGGTCAGATCAACTCAAAATTTTCAGACATGTTGCGTAGAAGCCTTTTAGGAAAAGTCAGAAAATTTGAGCTTCCTAGCTCAACGCGTTTGGGAGATATAACCAAAAAACCTCAGGGGGGGGGCTCCTGAGGCCCCCCCCCCCCCCCGCCAGGAATAGGGTTAAGGGCAAGCAACGTGGAACGTATAAGTGATCATAAAGCAGCTGATACGCACCAGGCGCCACACACCCAACTAAAAATGTAAGTTTTTACGGTAATAAGTCAATGGAAAAGACCCAACAAAGCAGCGAATCGAAACAAAACTGAAACATATTAGGAAACACCATGATACAGCCTGGAGGTTCGACAGAGCTCCTTCGGGGATCCTAGGAGGATGAGGTTTGGTTTCACTGACCTTGGCCTCGGCGCTGGAGGAATCCAGGTTGTGCTGCAGCTTGGTGATGAGGTCCTGAAGGTGCTCCCTCTCTGACGCCGTGTCCTTCTGCAGCCGCTCAAGCTTGGTCTCTGTGTCTGAGGGAAACGAGAAAGGAAAGCATTAGTCCACAACTACTCCAGCCTGGCCTTCCGTGTCAAAGGGAAATCACAGGAAATTATCTGGTGGAAAATATCTGGGCGAAGTGGACAGAGCAAAATGGCATGGAATGTCACGGGAAAAATGCATGACGAAAAAATGTAAAAAAAAAACAATTGGAATAGCGCCAGGAAGAAACAGCTAGGGCTTCGATATGATAAATTAAATATGCCAGTAAAAGGCTATGAACGGATTATAGCAGCCGCTGTAGACGAGAACCAAACAGACAGGTATCGGAAAGATGACAGCACTGAAAATCGAGGCATGAAGAACTAGACGCCGTTCTCCCTATTGCCATCTGCCCGTGTCGCACCTTTGAGCTGTTTCTCTTTCTCTATGAGGAGGGTCTCTCGCGCCTGCAGTGTGACGTCATACTTGTGACTGACGCGCGCCAGCAGGTCCTCGGTGACGTCAGATGTGCGCTGCAGCTGCTGTATGGCGTCATCCAGCATTCTGGCGGGATAACGGGGGAGGGAGAGTCAGCTCTGTCCAAAGTCTGGGGCGAAATAGCGTCAATTTTAATAAATAACCACACCTGTAGCGGCTATAGGAGGTAAGATGTAATTAAATAACATAAACAAACCAATGCAGCGAAAGTACCATGTGAAATGTGGGAATGAAGTGGAAAACAGCGAGCCTTTACACGTGTGTAAGAGGAGGGCATCAATGAGGGCAAGAGGCGGACATGGTCACATTGCGCAGATATTGGATTATGCCGATCATCCCGATGGACTGTACCTATCACGTAAACGCATACGTCAAACGCATAAGTCAACTCACATTGCGTCACAAAAAAAATGACATGTCAAACAAAGTAGAACAACACCAAGCAGTAAGCAATCATGTTAAGCGGAAGTTGGTCATAACATATCATTGCCGAAAAGAAACATCCATTCCATGGCAAGTGAACTCATACAAGGTGCATAGTGGTATTTGACACCGGCGTAACATATGCATTGCACACCGTAATAGCTGAGCGAATAAACGAACCAAGAACTCAATGACAATGTTGTCACGCAATCGATAACCAAAACTAGCAAACGGCCAACATAAAAATGCATAAAAATGCTCAACCAAAATAGGGGCTTTTCAACAGAAAATGTCATTTCGTACAAAGCAGCTCGCAATTTCGCATGATCACAATTCACGAAGCGGCACAGCAAAACGCAAAATATAGGTAAGAAACAAAATAGCGAAAGATGCCAACGAAAATGCGGGCCATATTCAAACACAAATACAAGCATGTTACATCCACAAATATCATTTCTCATACAATAGCAGCATCCAACTAACAGCAAGCAGCAGACGTGCAGCCCCGGCCTGCCCCTCCCCCTGCGCCGACTGACCCTCCGACCTGTCCGGCCGATTTGGCCGCGTCCCGCTCCGTGTCCCGCAGCTGGGTGAGCCGTGCCACCACTGTCTCATGCTCGCCGCGCAGGCCCGCCAGGCTCTCCTCGTAGGTGGCTCTGAGCCGGCCCAGCTCGGCACTCTGTACACCCTCTATGGTGGACAGGTGGCGGAGGTGCGACGAAGCCGCCCACGATGTCTCCTCCTGGGTGGGGCGGACGGTGACGATGGGTAGACGGAGGTGTTAGAGGGGGTGCATAAGGGGAGGAGAGGAGGGGTGGTTTGGTGGAAGGGTTGTGACGATGCAGTGCAGCTCAGTTGAGACGCCGTCACTCGCCTAGTCAGCTGCGTCAGACACGCTCACAAATGAATCGAGACAGCGGCTGACTCCCGATCCCACCCGTCGGCCAACCTGCGATTTGTGACCCGTCACCCGGGGCGAGTCTCGAAGAGAAAGAGATGCTAATCCACTACCGAGCTTCAGCACAGCGGAGGAATGGGTGGTTTATGTGCGCTAAAATCAGCCTGAAATAACCAGATTGCTGATGCGTATACCCTGTAATTGCTATAATTAAGGGCTTAACCCGCTATCGCTATCTATCTCACAAGCAGTTTATACTTCGATAGTGCAGGTAAGCTGTTGACTGGTAGACCAGGTTCAACAGCTGGCGGAGTGTAACTGACCTGATACCGCTTCATTCTGTCTCTGAACTCGTCTCGAAGTCGGTTGTTTTCGTCGGTCAGCTGTTTCTCGCGGCGCCGATACGACTCCTCGGCTGTCGCCAGGCGGTGTCTGCGGCCACAAAGTACATTTCAGGTACAGAACGACCACTGTCAGCGCAAGAAATCACTGTTGCATTTGAATAGCAGAAAAAAGAAAAGATTTAACCCCCGCCCGTATTGGTGTTTTTTTCCAGCCGCGAACGTATAAGGGGGGGGGTTCGTTGGACCCCCCCCCCTTGCCGTTTCGCCCCTGATTGAGCTAGAGCTTCGCGGAAAAAAAACGAGCGTGTTGCCCGTGACGAGAGGAAGCCAATGATACCCAATTTTAAGGTCCTAGGTAATCGGTTGACCTTCCAGGTCAGGTCAATGACCCAAAAGTCGGGAAAATCGGGACCTGTTAGAAAGTCGTAAAGCGTGGCTGCTATGGGGTTTTTCGGGGTGCTGATCACGAAAATCATGTTAGTTTTGATCACAGATGATGTCTTCATGCATTTAGGCCAGGTCGGGTCAGGTCAACCAGTAAGGGTATTCGTAGTAGGTGGCAACCGCCTCTGACAGCTTCGTAACATGTTACGAAGGCACCAGAACTACTTCGTAAATGTTCATATGGTTGCTAAATTCGAATTCAGCTCCAAAAACTGGCCTAGAAACATGTAAAACTCGAAAAAGTGAACCAAGGTCATCAAAGGTCAATGACTTGACCTCACCTTCCGGTGACCTTGACACCCATCCTAATGCATGGGAGCATCATCATATCCCATGTTTGAACGCTTAAAACCACGAAAAGACTGCAAAAGCGCGGCTAATGCGAGCCGACATACGCCGAATCGCGATTCCGGCCAAACATGGTCTCGAAAAGTAGGCCACAGGTCAAAGGTCATTAGGGTCAGGGTCATGAAAATGTCAGGGTAGGTGTAAAATTGATTAACGCGAGGGTACTGAAAGTTTCTTCGCGATCGGCCGCTTTTTACGGGAGTTATTCGCGAAAAACCGAGGGGGAGTCCGTTCGACCCCCCCCCCCCCCTATACGGGCGAGGGTTAAGACAAATAAGAACGTCCAAATTCGGGCAGGAATATTAGCGAGAACAATGAAACATACGGAATGAGATAAAGAGGTGGGAACTGGAATCATAATTTCAAAGCCAGGTTATACGCTCAGGGGTGGTGCGACCTCAAGCACGGTGTCCGCACCCCCGTCACCGCCCCTCCACTCACTGATACGACTCCTCGAGCTGCCGGCGCTCGTCCTCTGCCATCCGCTTCAGCAGGGCAATGTGCTCCTCCAGGCGCTGCTTCTCCATCTCGTGGCCCGTGCAGCCGCTCTGGGGGGAGCGACAGAGAATCTAAGGTGATGTAAGGTGTGTTGCAGTGTCCCAAAATTGAGTTTTGTCATGGGTGTCAGAGGGGAAAAATACCCACCATAATGGGGGGAGGTAGAAAACTGCTGATTCGATTAGATCTAAAACAGGTGAGAAACAACAAAAACATGTATTTTATTCTAGGGTGTAGAATGTTTGATGCTAAACCTGGCATCCACACAACTGCTCTTGGTAAAAAATCCTAAGTTTTCTTGGTTGGGAGTGGACAATTATTCTTAAATATTGGTGGTAAGAGTGAAAAATGAATTTAATTTGGATGTCGTTTCCCACCCAAATCGACAAATTTTGGGACATTGGTTGAGTGTGTTCAGATCATAAGCGAACATAAAGCGATTTCAGTCGTCATAAAAAATGTGGAATACGGCAGGCTGGTTGTCACTCAGCTGCCTCAACGAAACTGTAACTGTTAAAAACATTTAGCACCAATACATCGCACTGATTGCACTACATCCAAGCATGAACCTATCAAACTGATTCCTGACGATAATTAACATCCCAATTCCCAGCACCCACCTTGAGTTTGACGATCTCGCTGTCCCTCTCAGCGATCTGTTTATTAGCCTCGGCCAGTTTGGCCGTCCACTCCTCGGTGAGCTCCTTCTCTCGGGCTGCCAGCGCGCCACTGTCCGGTGGAAACAGCTCACGGCGGGCGGTGGCCGGCTGGGGCGGGGGCGGGGCCGGCTCGGGAGCGGCAGCCGGCGCCGGCGTCATCCCCAAACTGTCCATCCAGGAGGCCGCGGCGGCGGCGGCGGCCGGCGGTGCTGCTGCCGGCGCCGGCTCCACGGGCTGTTCGGCGGGTCTGGCTCTGGCCGCCAGCGCAGAGGCGGGCGCTGCGGCGGCCGGCGCTGTCCTTGCCGGGGAGGACGGCGGTTTGGGGGAGAAGAGGTCCAGGGGATCGGCCGGAGGGGCGCGCTGCCGGCCCCGGCGCCCCGTGCGTGACGCCGACGGCTCGTAGCCACCCAAAGAGACGTCCCCACCTGCAGCAGCCTCCTCGCCAGCGGGTTTACTGGAGAGCATATCGTCAAACATGGAGCGAGGACGGCTGGGGGTGGCGTCAGCGGCCGGTGCGGCCGACGGCTTGCTAGACAGCAGGTCGTCAAACATACCTCGCTGGCGGCCGGGCGCCGGCTCTGCGCCAGCGGTGGATGGTTTTCCCGACAGGATATCGTCGAGCATAGTGCGCTGTCGCGGCGGCGTGGCCGCAGCCTCGGTAGGGGCGGGGCCGGATGGTTTGCCGCTGAGAATGTCATCCAACATGGTCCGCTGCTTGGCTGGCGCCGGTTCTGCGGACTTATCGCCGAATAGGTCGGCCATCAGACGCGATTTCTTGTCATCAGACATGGTTGAGCCAGCTTTTGTAGTGGCCAGTGGATAATCCTCTTATGTGGCAGTCTTCACACAATTATGAGTGGCTTCATTGTTATGTTGCATTGAGGTGTCTGAAATACTACAAACAATTAACATAATAAGCACAGTCAATAACACTGCTGGGCAATGGCAAAAAAAAACAGCAAAATTGAGGTAATCTGCACCAGAACACAGAACAACTAATGACATCTCTCAATTGCTCAGAACAAGATTGTAATGAAGCATGCTTACAAAAATAAATTGCATCACCCACCTGCATCTAGCCTTGAATAAAAGCAGCCATATCTGCCACGGCACATAGCATGGCTGAGGCAAACTTTTAGCAAGAGCAAAACCTTCCAATATTTTATGGCTGAAATGATATAATGACATGACATTTAACATGAACCAGGGAGCCACTACTGACTATATACCTGCTGGTAGGTAAAAGGTGATTTTCCTTCTCAATTAGTCTACATGAAAAGACAACAAAACTTACAAAAGGCACCTGGCAATTGGTACATACCAGGTCTAATAGGCTCACAGTAATTGCAATGAGTTTCTCTCCTCATTAATATTGATCTATTCCTTTGCAAATAATTCAAATCATTTCCAAATAATCTCAATTTTGCATGGAGGCAAAAGGCAGAACTTAAGACGCCTCAGCAGGGTCAACGACTCAAGCACAGGTGGCCTCTTGCCCTTTCTGCTTAGCGAATATGACACAATACCAGCCAGGGATGCCACTGAACAGGGGGTTACGGTTCTATGCTGCCACATAGGGAGAGCTCAGGAGACAGATGACGTCACAGGGTGTCAATTTTTTTGTTGATTTTAAAGGCTTTGCTGTGCAGTAAATTATCTTTTTTAGGCTCTAAGGGAGCCTAAAGGTTAATATCAAACTGCCTTAGAGTATAAAATCCTCGGAAGATTAATATTGGCGAAGATTGGTAGACACCCGCTGACTTCATCTGTCAAGGTCACCAATGTAAACAAACGGCTAACCATTCTACCTCCTATATACGGCCTTGCCACTGAATGCAAACCTTACTGGAAGATGACCAAAAATTATGCAAAAACTTCTTCAGGGTGACTTTATACAGATCATGAGTTCTCCCTTCAGTTCAGTAAGTATGTAGGCGCAGGTGAGCTGGCCAACTAAGAAACAACTATAAAGCTTATAATGATAACCCTTATCTAATTATGTGAGCTTTATCACATCAAAAATCCAATAAAAATATAAAAACCTCTCAGGAGAATCTAATGATGCAGGCTCTAGGAATCTTGATCAAGACCTCATCCTCTTGAATGCTCTTGAACAGACTCGAAAGCACCCTACGGCATGCCACACGTTGAAGAGATAGGCAGCTGAAAAATGGCGCAGCTGCGGCGTTCTTTTATTCACTTTAGACGCTGACGGAGCAAACCAGGAGCTCCCTATTTGCTCTTTTCCGCGAGCGCATGCAGGAGTCCACCCCAGGGTATATTGAGTGAAGTCCACCCAGTCCACCTGACGGCACGCATGACGGAGTCCAGAGTCCGGGCAGTCCGATGAGTCCGTATCGTGAGAAGTCTTGTTCTTGTTCTTGTGCGTACGGCCTTGGGCGTGTAGCTGTATCATGAGAAGTCAATTTATTTATTTTTGAAGACTCAAGAATCAAAACTAGCAGGAGCAAAATAGATAATACGCAGAATTTCAAGAATTTAATTGTTTAATTGGTACCTATTGCATGGAATGCCTGTTCTGTTGCGCCTCAAACCAGACCGGACTGGGAGGCAGTGAGGGGGATGTGTAGTATTCCACCGTGGGGATGTGTAATGCGGTGAGGGGGAGGCGGGCCCTAACCCACAAAGAAGAAGAAGAAGAAGAGGGGGGGGGGGTCACAGTCGAGGTAGTCTCTGGTTCAGATGTTCTTTAATTTGTATAATATGGATATCAGTTGATAGAAAAATTTGTTTTTCGTAAGATGAATGTAGTATAGAGTTACTCTGATGCCTGATGGACAGTTTTCATCTGTAGCTGGCTAATCGTATCTTACTGCGATAGAAGAATTTGCGGTAGCTGCTATCTCGGTCGACCTGCACGTTCTCCTTGCCTGTTGTCAGCTTCTGGAAAATATCAAAACACGGAAATGTAGTACCCTTATTATACCCACGGCCTTGACCCCAACACACTGGGGGAATGTGTCAGAACTGGGAGACCCTGACACTTGACAGATTCCCAGACTCCTCTGTAATTTACTGAGCAATGACTTGATAATCCTTGTCAGTTATTGTATCATGGCTTGAATATGAAGTATTTATTTTGTTAGTTGCTGCCTCAACTGTTTCAGAATGAGGCCTGCCTACTTTCAGGCGCTAAATCGTATCTGCCGACTTAGCCTGTCTGGTCATCGATTGGTACACTCTACACCGAAGATGGCAGAAGAATATGTTGAAAAGCTGAAGAAAGAAAATCCCTACTATTCAAAATATCAGGATAAAATTGCCAAACTACGAGAGTGGGTATAGCCATACATATGTGTGCTGGTTTTGTTACCGATGAGCACTTTGATGTCTGCATATTTTGTTGCTGATTTTGTCACTGTGTTTTGGTACCTATTTTATCGTCACTTTTATAAGTCATTTTCACCATTTTCTCGATGTTTTCTAGAGTATCGTCTGACGAGGTGGAACGGCGGGTGCAGCAGAAGAACCAGAATGACCGTGTAGCCAGAGATGCAGACGCTGCACGCTCGTTTTCGGGGAAGGCGCCGAAGGCAGCTGATGCGGCCAGGCTGCCGCAGGCTAAACCCAAGGTAGGCGAGTGACAGAGATGAATGAAAGGTATAAGGCCAAGGGCACGAATCTAAGGTTTGAACCATTATAAAAACTCCTCAAGTTAGGAGCCTTTGAAAGCTTAAAACACAAGGTGTGAAGCATTATGAGCAGGGATGCGGAGCCGTGGAAATTTCAGACGGCTCCGGCTCCGGCTCCGGCTCCGGAGAAAAAAATCGGCTCCGGCTCCGGCTCCGGGTGAAATGTCATGGCGGCTCCGGCTCCGGCTCCGGCTCCGAGTAAAATGATCCGGCTCCGGCGGCTCCGGCTCCGGCTCCGGCTCCGGCTTCTACTCAGTACATCCCCTATGCGATCAATTAAATACGGGTGGAAGAAAAAAGGCGATGGGATTGGTACACGTTGCTTCTGTATTTGTATAACACGGCTATTTTGAATATCAGGTTGTTTTACGCCTTGTACTGTCAAACCGAACTAGGTAAATAATTGTTTCCTCTTAAATATTGTTTCACGGCTCCGGCTCCGGCTCCGGCTCCGGCTCCGCATCCCTGATTATGAGACATCGTCATTGAAGGCAAGGCATTGTGTCCAGGCATTGCGGACAATATGAAGCGGAGATGTGAGCCATTTGTTGAGCACAAATATCGTTCCTTAGTCGTTTGAAGTATCGGGATACTCCACTGCATTGATGGGACATTGAGAGTAAAGAAGAAACGCGTCGTGTTTTGAAAGGATGAGGATGCACGCACCACTGCTAGTTATGTTCACTGCACATATAAGCTTATATGCTTAGCCCTGTTACCACTCATGATGTAACTCGATTGATTGATATGCCAGATATGAGACAGTTTATCCGGCCATTCATTATAGCTACCTAGGTATTTGTATTGTCACTAATAGTAATAAGTGTTCTAAAAATATGACGAATATTTGACAGGAACTGAACGACATCCTCAAGCTGGAGCTCATCCAGGACAAGAGCAGCGACGAGATCGGACAGGTAGGCTGTTATCCATACCTGTCTTCCCAAGATAGAATATGTTTTAGCGCCTTGGATAAAACAAGCTGCCTATAGCTCCGGCTATTTTCTGACATAGTGACCCGTAATTATCAGCATTCACTTGTGATTTATGGTAACTGCTGCCTGTGTGTTCATATCATGATCTGTGGCGATCTAACTAGTCCGATCTTTTTCAGCTTTGGGTGGAGTATTTCAAAACGAAGGACAGCGTCTCAGCAGTAATACCTGCCGACAAATACAGAGCTCTCGTCGCCAACACGGAAAAATATCCCACGGTAAAGCAATAAGTCAAAAAATGTTTTTAGAATACCAAAACTCGTTCTGGGGCTTAACTAAAAAAAATCGTTGTTATTAGACCTAATCCATCATAGCTTTTTGCTAGGGTATACTCGAAGAACATATCGGATGATCGTTGTTTGACGTTGTTAGAAAGTTCTTACGAATTATATGAGACTGTAAAGTCATATTTAAACCCAGGTATATTAATGATAATAAATCGTTTAGCGGACTGACTCTGGGTGTAAAGACTCTTACGTAAGACTCGTAAAGACTCTGACTCTTTACACCCAGAGTCAGTCCGCTAAACGATTTATTATCATTCTTACGAATTATTGTTGGGCTTTGTTTGTATGTGGTACATTTGCTCTTCCAGCTTTTGTACACGTATATTAAACAAAAACTATGCTTGCCAAGATCATTTTCCTAGCGCTCGGTCACGGCACGCGTTCATGACGTAAAGTAATTATCATTTGTTGGACTTTCTTCTTATCTTTGCTTTTATCGTATATCTGTCGGTGCACGACCCGCGTCTGACCGGCTCCCGCTCTGCATCCTCCCGACAGTTTCTGTTGCCGCTGCCACGCAAAGACGGCTACGAGTTTGTGGTGGTGCAGTTTGCCGGCAACGAGGCCCACTTTACCGCCCTCATCAACTACCAGGTAAGCTGCGGCAGGCGAGTGTTCAGCTCAACGAGCCCTGACTGACGAATGAAGGAGGCGTGAGCGCAGGAGGACTGGGAGTTGTTGTGGTGTCACGGTAGGTGGCAGTGTACAGTTGTGTAGGTGGGGCTAGTGAACCGCTGAAATATGTAATCTGTGCTTTCCGAAGCACTGACGACCATCGTCATCATAAGGCCATAGAAATTGATATTGATGAAGTCGTTACTGGTGGGTCACGATGCGATAACTTGAGTTTTGTTTTTAGATTGTGATCATGAACTAATGACTTCGCCTGAAAATTGAATCACAAATTGCGGAAGTAATTGACTTTCTGGGACCCTGGGTTCTACCACAATTGACGATATTGGCGATATTGGAGCTTATTGTTCCAGGACTAGGCTGCTTTACCATCTTGCTGGGAGCCTTAAAATGTTAGCATAAACCTATCCGCTCGATGATAGATACGATCATTCTCCCGGTTCCTGCTTAGCGTAGCGGTACTCCATTGCCTGTTGAATAGACTTTCGTTCCATCATTTATAATTGCTGCATTTTCAATGGTCATAATCGATGTTATACTAATGCATAATACGATTCTGTTGATACATGTGTCAGCCTTTGCGAATCGGGGGCCCTAAAAATCAAACCATTGTTATCATAATGCTTCCATTCCCTGAGATAAAACCTATGAATCATTCAAAAGTCCGTCAAATCAACATGAAGAGCAGCGATCTGAGTGATCTAAGTGATCTGATCTAGGCGCCTGTCGAGACGTCGATTCCTCGAACTACCTTCTGAAGGACGCCGCTGGGCCGGCTGAATTTTCGACCGCTCCAGCCGCCCGTCTGTCACGCGATCCTGTCATGTGGCCGAGTGTGTGAAGACGTGTGTGTCTGTCTGTCTGTGTGTGTATGTGTGTCGGACCGGGACGGCCAGTGCCTGGTGCCGACGGATCAGTGAGCCCGGGCTGTAGACGGAATGGGACTGGCGTGCTACTGGGTAGTGGGCTGGGGGGGGAGGGAGAGGGTAGCATTGTCGCCACCGATTGCGTCCGGAGTTCGGTGACGGGGTATCGACTATCGATGCATGGTTTCAGTTTGCTTCTGTTCGTTCTCGAGTGTTTTGAATTGGGGAGAACTTGAGCAATTGTTGGACAAGTGATGTTTGTGTGACGGATAATTTGAGAAAATATTTAATTAAGCTCTTCTTGAATCCTTGTCAAGCTTGGTCATTTCTTTAATATCTATCTCTACCCATTTATCGATATTTCTAAGTAGCCAAACCTTGTGCGTGCACACGGCGAGCATTGTCAGTGTAGTCACTCATGACGTTAGTGCTTCTTTATTTAATTGATCGATCGCAGTTCGCAGTGAAGCCGTTCACGATTTTGACACACCTCCCCGTACCCACCATCTACTCAAAAACCCTGGCCATAGTCAACACCCACAGGCCGGGAGGGTGGCCTCTCGGTACATACATTGCACCTACCGACGGCTGACCGACCCTCCCCTGCCGTTTCAGACGTATAAGGAGAACGCCCCTGAGTGTATGACCATGATTCACTACCCGGAGCTGGCGGATAGCAAAGGAATCGTGCTCATGGTGGCAGAATACGATAACACATCGCTGGTAAGAAAGAGCCGCCGCTGTCTGGCGTAGAAAAGAACGAGCTTAGATGTAAAGTATAAAGTTATTAGAAAACGGCAGACGTAACAAGACGTATGATAAAGATGTTGCGAACAATCGTAACAGTCGATGACGAGCGAGTGTTGTGTGTCGTGTGGCACGAGTTCCGTGTTACGCGGTGGATTTACACCTGCCCGTGAAGTTGACGGTAGAATGGCCTTTGACGTGCCCCTAGCGTGACCGACTTAACTCATTCACAAGGCGTCGTGTTTGAACTATGAATGCTGAAATGTGGCGCACGACACGCTGTTTCAGGCAATCACGGCTGCTTTATTTTCATGGTATTCCTTCCTGTATTGCGACCTAGCCTGTTGACCTAATTGTAGTCCTTTTTCGGTCTGCATTTTACATAAATCCATTTTTGCTCGCGCATGAACGTAAATAGATTTTGACATTGCGACGCACCTGTAAGATCTAAGAAACACGTTTGGGTAGTGGCTTAGGTCACAATATGGCTGGAGAGCTCCAGTGATGATCTACTTGATGGTGGCATATGGAATCCACGGCTGTTATGTGATGACACGCTGCCTGTATTGTTTGTAGCTACCCGTCTAAAATGTACGTAACTACTCGCGTCGGCACTTCACCCGCCCCTCGCCCGCCCCTGTTCTTTGGTATGTTTAGTAAAGCCATGCTGATTGGGCGCCCACTTCCGATGCAGAGCCAGCGCTCAAAACCCAAACTCATCTTCAGCTCAACCACGGTCGTGCCGGCTAGAGGGTAATCAGAATCATCGCGGTATGGTGTGGGGACGGTGGTAGTGTCTATTGGGGACTCTACCGAAGTCAAGGTTAGGGTAGAGTGAAAGGATGAAAGATTTAGTCGAGTGACATTTACCGAACAACCGGCAGGCTTGATAGACGGTTGCAAAAGTCATACCTGAGGCCTCTTGCAATGAAATACCTTGCTAGGTAGAATGAAAAACCGATTTCAGAGCTAGCTAGCCTAACGCTGGTAAATTATTTTACATCAGCTCATAACAAAGGAAGTTGTGTACGGTTTGTTTTGTTTGTTTTGTAGGGTTAGTCTCTTTCGGTCAATTGCAACCACTGAAGAGCCGGGAGGATGATAGGATTTAAGGGGAGACATTGGTCTGGGCGGGCACCTTGGCGAGTCGTCGGGGCTGAGCCCGTCCAATTGGACAGGCCACCCAGCCCCCTGATGTCCAGGCCCACTGCATCCGGGTAAGGGCGTGCTCCAAGGGGAGCTTCCCGCATGGTATAAAGTTGCCCGTGGAGCTCGGAGCAGAGGTTTTGGGCGTGGAGAAGGATTTGGCTGTTCTGATGATGGAAACTATGAAGCAGTGCGTAAACCTACAAGTGCTTGTTAGAATTTATAGTTAAATTGTCACGGGGAGTGAGTGTTCGGTGCAGCAGAATCCAAGTATTGGTACAAGAGGGTTTTTGTTCCATAGGCATCTGATCATTACTTTTGAGCTATTGGGACACTTTTTTTACACACAGACGTTTTCTTATATATTTCCAAAGCCGAACTCAGTAACAAGCGATTCCCTCCCCCCCCTCCCCTTAGTCTTCTCCCCCTTTGCCGGCGGACTGCCGGTTACCTATGGTGGCTCAAACCTCCCCTAATTATTCTCCCCCTCCCCTCAGGACGCCAGGGAGGCCCAGTGTCTGGCGAACGAGGTACAACTCTACTACTGCCGACCGGACGAGCGGCGACGGAACCTTCTAGAGCAGTTCACCACGCGACCCGACTCGTTCAAGTACCAGGACTTGATACTGGCGCTGGAGGATGTCCAGCTCTAAACACGTCGGTCCTTCGCCGGTATGTTGGGTCATTGTGTAAATGGTGCTATTTGGGTGACTTGTTAGATCGGTGTTTTGTATGGTTTGTTGTCGCAGTCAGTGAAAAACCTAATACATGTTATACATGTAAACATATTATCTTTTTACTTGAACAAAAAAAAAATGGTTAAGCTCTCATTGCCCATAATACTAAAACCGTTGTCCTAAGTGTTACGTTTATTTGCTTTTCTTTCATGAGAAACGTACAGACGCATTACATCGATTTAGCGGTAGTTCCGCAGGCCATTTATCGCTGATACATGTTCAACTTTGTGTGGATTATCCCTAATATCACCATCGGCACCTTTCGGTCCATTTTCATCAAGTTCTACAAAACTCTTAACACCGCACCATTATATCTAAAAATAGCGATCAAACGCCCTGTCCATTAGGTCAAACCGGACCGTACTGAACACGCCGCTCCTGGCGCTGTCCAGCTGCGGCGCGGTCCGCACTGCTGTGCCGCCGGTGGAATGCGATCGACCGGCCGACAGTCTATAGATCGGCTGGTAGTTAATGTATCGCCCACGCTGGCACACGGACAGACACTGCAGAATAGGTTACGGAGCGACCGGCTCGGGCTGATGTACCGGCGGAGGTCAGCACATCTGATAGGCACCCCACGAAGGAGGTGTATGCATTGATGTAGTAGGTACGTCACGGTGAATAAGGTTGTTCTCTGTCCCAAGAGGTCGAGTGATGACGTCAACACGTCGTCCGGGTGAGGACGTCAGTGATGGAATGACGTCACATCGGTGTGATTTTTGGGTATGCTAATTCAATTCTGGATCCCAAAGGTCACGGCAGTATCCTAAGTTTCCTTGATTCTCTTCCTCGGCGTCTCGATTTGACAACGTGTTTCATCATCGAACGCTGACTTCCAGGCTTAGATCGCTTCTGATATTCGTGGCTACCTATCCACATACGAGTATGGTCTGAAGGATGGTTATCAATTATCATTCAACTCCTGATTGATGTACACGCTAACCAAGAGCCAGCTTCGCTCTATGCGCAATCTGTCTATTCCTTTTCATCCTTTTGCTGAAAATCCACACGCTGTTACTTGCATAGAAGCAAGCGTGTCTGTATTTAGGAACCAATTCTTCGACACCACTAATGCGTATATTGATTCGGTAGCTTTCGGAAGCTTCTGCTCCTTTCGTCAGCCGTGCTTTAAAATGCATTAAAATGCAAGACAATACGTCTCAAACGTCTCAAACACCTACCAAAATACATACCACCACGAGGAAAAGTTGTAGCCGTACGTCTAAAGCACAGATGCACAAAATAATTACGGAGCGAGCGAAGCGAGCGTAGTCTTTCCTTAGATTAACGGAAATTTCTGAGTATGAGCGGCCGGCCGGCCGGCCGGCCGGCCGTGGTCACGCTTTTGCGAGGCTTATATCTCAGCAACCACTTGACCGATTTACACGCGGTAATTTTTGTAGGGTAGCTTCATTCCTTCTACCAAGTATTGGACTATTCCCGATGCATGTGGGTGACCCCTTACCTTATGCACGTGCCACGTGCAAAACGAAGAGGTGTCACTTTTGTAATTGTTGCAATATCTCGGTAACTACTTGGCCGATTGCGCTGAAACTTGGCATGTAGGTAGGCACCCACTAGGCACTGCATATACATATGCCAGAGTTGGGGTGCTGCTGCACGTGCGCACGTGCAGGGGTCGTTTCCAGATCTCGAGAATGGCTGGACCGATTGCGCTCAAATTTGGTACACGGTTAGGGACCGGTTAGTAGCGTGTCGTGCACAAGTCAGTTGGGACCCATTTTGCACGTGCGCACGTGCAGGGTGCCGCTTCCAGATCTCGAGAACGGCTGGGCCGATTGTGCCCAAATTTGGCACATCGCTAGAGACCAGTTAGTAGGGTGCCGTGCACAAGTCAGTTGGAGGTACCCCCTCGCAATTTCGCACGTGCAAGGCCCACCCTCTCGCTCGCTCCGTTAGTCGCCCCAAAAGGCGTTATACTGGTCATACGAATACACCATAACTGAGCGTGAGCACACATTACATGAATATAATATAATATAACCAATATTTGAAAGTTACCTCACACTGACTTCTCTTTCTTTTGACCAACATTCCATAACACATATTAATGAACTAAGACGTAATCGTCCGTAACATTCGTGCCAAACTTTCGGCAGTCATCGTAAGTTCATGATCGTAACAACCGAGATCGAGACAAATAATCGGAGGTAGTCGTAAGTTCGTAATCGTTTTACAATCGCAGACGCACAAGCTCGCGTATTCGCTCTAATAATCACATACAACAACCGTACATATTTTTCAACACTTCTAAACTAAGTGTGCCTATAATAGCTCACTCAGACCCCCTGGAACTCGCCCTATACACGCAGTGCCCTGTACATGTCCGGCACCTCCCACCCGGGTAAGATATTGATGCTGTTCTGTCTGTCTACCCTGGAAATATAAAAACCCTCCTTCACCTTTCGTTTACCCCAGTTCGTCTCATAGTCCAAAATTTTAACTTCGTCCCACATGATAGAGTGCCCTGTTTCTAATATATGCCTCGATATCCCTGAATGGTCTCGGTTCCCGTTTGCTATAGCTCGCTTGTGTTCTGACTCCCTCGTCCTCAGCTTTCTCCCGGTTTCCCCTACATAAACTTTTCCGCACTGGCACTTATACTGATAGACCAGCCCAGCCTTCTCTTTGATCCCTAATTTGTCCTTGGGTTTGACGAGCCTAGCACTAAGGTTCGCTGCAGGTCTCGTGCTGACCTTCGCGTAGGGTCGGAGGACGCGCGTGACCTGTTCACTCACCCCCTGGATGTAAGGGATGCTTACATAAACCCGTTTGTCCTCCTCCTGTTCCCTGCCTACCCGAGGAGGACAAACGGGTTTATGTAAGCATCCCTTACATCCAGGGGGTGAGTGAACAGGTCACGCGCGTCCTCCGACCCTACGCGAAGGTCAGCACGAGACCTGCAGCGAACCTTAGTGCTAGGCTCGTCAAACCCAAGGACAAATTAGGGATCAAAGAGAAGGCTGGGCTGGTCTATCAGTATAAGTGCCAGTGCGGAAAAGTTTATGTAGGGGAAACCGGGAGAAAGCTGAGGACGAGGGAGTCAAAACACAAGCGAGCTATAGCAAACGGGAACCGAGACCATTCAGGGATATCGAGGCATATATTAGAAACAGGGCACTCTATCATGTGGGACGAAGTTAAAATTTTGGACTATGAGACGAACTGGGGTAAACGAAAGGTGAAGGAGGGTTTTTATATTTCCAGGGTAGACAGACAGAACAGCATCAATATCTTACCCGGGTGGGAGGTGCCGGACATGTACAGGGCACTGCGTGTATAGGGCGAGTTCCAGGGGGTCTGAGTGAGCTATTATAGGCACACTTAGTTTAGAAGTGTTGAAAAATATGTACGGTTGTTGTATGTGATTATTAGAGCGAATACGCGAGCTTGTGCGTCTGCGATTGTAAAACGATTACGAACTTACGACTACCTCCGATTATTTGTCTCGATCTCGGTTGTTACGATCATGAACTTACGACCAGTATAGCGCCTTTTGGGGCGACTAACGGAGCGAGCGAGGGGGTGAGTCTTGCACGTGCGTTATTTCGAGGGGGTACCTCCAACTGACTTGTGCACGGCACCCTACTGACCGGTTTCTAGCGATGTGCCAAATTTGAGCACAATCGGCCCAGCCGTTCTCGAGATCTGGGAGCGGCACCCTGCACGTGCGCACGTGCTAAATGGGTCCCAACTGACTTGTGCACGGCACCCTACTAACTGGTCCCTAACCGTGTACCAAATTTGAGCGCCATCGGTCCAGCCGTTCTCGAGATCTGGAAACGACCCCTGCACGTGCGCACGTGCAGCAGCACCCCAACTCTGGCACATGGACATGTATTGCCTAGTGGGTGCCTACCTACATGCCAACTTTCAGCGCAATCGGCCAAGTAGTTACCGAGATATTGCAACAATTGCAAAAGTGACACCTCTTCGTTTTGCACGTGGCACGTGCATAAGGGGTCACCCACATGCATCGGGAATAGTGCAATACTTGGTAGAAGGAATGAAGCTACCCTACAAAAATTACCGCGTGTAAATCGGTCAAGTGGTTGCTGAGATATAAGCCTCGCAAAAGCGTGACCACGGCCGGCCGGCCGCTCATACTCAGAAATTTCCAGATGTTGCCGAAGCGTCATTATTCTTTTCCTCAGGTTAATAAATATCTAAAAAGTTAATTGTTTTCGAAAACGGGCTTCGCTGAGGAAAACTAAATATTATAACCAAATATTTCGGCTTTATTGATCAGCCTTGTTCACTGGTTTGAAATACATTTTTCTCAAAAACATGACCTAAAAATTCTAATATTCATATCGTGCCGTCAGTGATGACGATCTTCTAGCTTACGAAACACCGAACAAATGAATCGTGGTGAAAAACATTTTCAAGGCACACTGTAACAGGCAAACGCACACATGTTCCTATCTCAACGCAATGTCCCAAATAGGGCTGATGGTGACCTTTCCGACCCCCCTGTTCAATGACGAATTGTGCACCTTAATCTCCAGTGCTTCACGGATTGTCCTACGCTTCCAGTTTCTTTCAACTGCCAATGTTTTCGCGTCTCTTGGATTTAATGATTTGTTGCATGAGTAGGCATGCTGAGCTGTTGCTGACGTGTCTGTGCGGCCATGTTTTAAATCAGCCATGTGCTCCTTCATTCTGGTTGATTTTGGACGTCCACTTTCTCCTATGTAGGACTCACCGCACTCACATCTGATCTGATAGACGGTGCCTTTTTTTATCTCAGGTGGCACTTTGTCCTTCACCTGCATTAAATGGTCTCGAAGTGTTCTTGACTTGTGTCCCCTTTTGATGTGGTGCTGCTTCAAAAGTCTTGCTATGGGCTCACTTAACCCCTTTACGTATGGAAGCGAAATGTATGTTGTGCGGGTGACCTCATTTTGATTGACTGTATCCTGGTCTGTGTCATCTTTTTGTTGGTTTCGCACATCAAAGCCTTTTTTTATCACGTGGCTAGGATAGCCGTGTTGTCTGAAAACAGTCTTCAGATGTTCTTTCTCTTTGGC